AAATCGGTGGCCATGCGTGGCAAAGAAGTTTAAGTGGTTACAGAGAATAGCTCCTAAATATCTAAGTATAGTATGCTTGTGTACAAAATCTTATTGAAATTGGACCAAAAATGTAGGAAAAGTAGCGTTTTGAAAGAATTTCAAAGAAATTTCTATTTTTAGTAACCATGGAAACACCGTACGTCGAAATCATAAATTGATTACGTTTCCTATTATGGTCTACCTGTGTACAAAATCTTATTGAAATTGGAACAAAACTGTGGGAGTTCTGGGAAAAAAAATCCATTTTTAGCTACCATGGCAACGTTTATCAAACTCAAAAACTGAAGAGGAGAATTATGCACCTTCGCGGTAGACATAACGTAAACTGTCGCAACCAAGGTTAAACAGTATAACTTGGGTAGATCTTAAATTCATTTTTTAATTGTAAAATTAACATGTGTGAAAATATCAATTTTATTCAACGTATATTATTTTGCAGTATTTCACTGTTTAAAATAAAATGCCTTCATACTACCAAAAATGCTTTTGAAGATATAGATTTTGTAGATTCTGTTTAAAAACTCCGTTTTTTTCTTCATATATAGTCAATTACGATAGTATAAAATAGAAAACTATGATATTCCAGGACCTTCTGGGGTCTTTATTTGCCCCCTAGGCCCCCACCAGAGCGCTGCATGTCCTGGATCCGTTGGGGGCCTCAAGGCAGCCCCAGAACCAACAGTGGCTGTCAGCTATCATCCGCAACTGTACTCGGCAATGCTGGTACCCGGACATCCATGACTGTACCTGCTCACTAATATCAAAAACGGAATGTCAGAGCAAGATTTTTCGGATTGTTCAACGTATTAAACTACATGTATATGTTGTTAATTAAGTATGGATTGTTTTTTAATGAAAAATACGAAATGTGTTAATATGGAGGAAAGAAAAAATTTCTGATTTTAAATAAATCTACTTTATGGAAGGCTGTAATCGCCAAAACGGTAACGATAACCAGCTTACTGAATATATCGCGGAAAAATATATGTAAACTTGACTATGCCTAAATCCATTCCATGGATCGCTTTATAATCTCTAAAAAGTAACATTTACTACAGCGTACATTTTGTATATCTATGACTTTATCCTGTGCCTGATATACAACATCTGCGACTGTACCTGTGCCGTACATACACACTACCACTGACTCAACCCGCGCTTGATTAATAACATCCACAACAAAAAATTCTGTGGATTTTCTCCGATTTAGATTTAGACTGAATTCAATCAAAGCGCAATTAACGCTAATCGTTATATTACCCGTGACAGTGATACCGAGACAAACGATGTCAGCAGTGATAAGGGAAGAATCCAAAACTTTTACAGATTTAAGTTTAAAGCTTTATGTTCAGAGTACAATATGAGCCAGGTCTTTAATTTTTTTTTTTTTTTGGGGGGGGGGGGAGGGGGGGGGACATGATTTCAATATCCTACGTGCTCAATAATAATGATGAATTTAAAATGAAACATGATAGTATAATTATAGAAAATATATGAGTAAACAAAAAACAAAGTAAAATAAAAAAGGAAATTAAAATAAATATTGGAATTAATTTGTAATCCTTAATTTTATGTTAGAAAGTATAAGTACGTCACAATATTATTAATTTCACCCATTTCATTGATCACGCAAGTGGTGTCAATGAAAAACACAGGTTTTTCCCATAAATATATGTCTTACGATATATACGGGTGGAATGGGCTAATTCACGCGTTTTCAATGTGTTATATATAAACATCTCAAGTGCACCCCAGGAAGTAGCCTCCTATGCCCTGCATAAAAAAGAATAGTTCCTGACAAAAAAACCTTTATTTATTTACAAAGTACATAAAATTTACTAGGCACAGGCATCAAAGTTGTAAAAATAGGCTGGAAGACCCCCCCCCCCCCCCCAAAAAAAAAAAATTCTCAAAAGAAATAAAAATTAATTTTATATGCATGGAACAATTAACATCTTGACTGGTCGATAACCGTGGTGTGATACCTGAAATGTGTAGGGTATGGTATTAAAATAATTTATCATATTAAAGGAAATTAATGCTATAATTATCGATAACATCCGAAGAAAATATTTGTGTAAGTAAATATTTTTATTAGATCCACTCTCTAAGATTCTGCCGTACTGTCCAGACAACTCTAGAAATTTTACACCATGACTGTACCGGTGCCTGATTGACAACATCCACGACTGTACCTGTCCAGTACACACACTTTATTCTACATCCATGACTGTACCAGTGCCTTATAAACAACATCCATGACTGTACCTGTGTCTTATAAACAACATCCATGACTGTACCTGTGCCTTATAAACAACATCCATGACTGTACCTGTGCCTTATAAACAACATCCACGACTGTACCTGTGCCTTATAAACAACATCCACGACTGTACCTGTGTCTTACAAACAACATCCATGACTGTATCTGTGCCTTATAAACAACATCCACGACTGTACCTGTCCAGTACACACACATTATTCTACTTCCATGACTGCATCTTTGCTTTATTAACAACATCCAAGAAAAGTTATTCAAGGCTCTACTTAAAGTTTGTTCTTTTTCGTTTGTGACCCGAACCCCCACCCACAATGCAATTTAAGAGGAAATACTCCTTCTTTCGATATACTCCATCCTCGCCTTCACAACTTCTGCCAAGTTTTATTATTATTGTAGAAAAGTCTATAAGTAATGGACTAATTATTTTAAAACCAGTGTCAAAAAGTTAACTGCTCATGATTTTCAAATACTAATGGAAATGGATAAATAACCATCAAATCTCTCCGTATGTTTAACTTATGTAAAAGTCAACTGACATATTAGATTCATTGGCAATAAAATGACTGTTTTTGCTGCTTTTAGTCTGTAAACATATGTTCTACACCCTCATCCCCCACCCCCCAATAACTCACTCCCCTGAAACAACAAACAATTGGTATAAATTTGAATTTGTGAAATAACAATTCATAATACTTGAAAAAGGAATTGTTGTTTCAGTGAGGGGGGGGGGGATAAAAATATTTTCCGTTGATTTCTATAGAGATGAAGTTTTACCAAAATTATAGACTTATCTCTCTTTGTTTTCCCAAATAAGTTATGTTTTTTGATAACATTCACATAAATATTCGGTATATAAATATGAAAAAATCATTCCAGTATGTTAACTTTCTAAATTAACTCTGCGATAGGTGGCAGAATTTTACTATGATTCTTGCTATCATATGGTTTATTCAAGCATGCGTATTAAAGCTTTTGAGACAAGCCTTCTGCATTAGCAATACTAGTCCCCTACCGGAAAGTGTACAGGTACAGTCATGGATGTAGAGTAAGATGTGTATACTGCACAGGTACAGTCAGGGATGTTGTTTATAAGGCACAGGTACAGTCATGGATGTAGAATAAAGTGTGTGTACTGGACAGGTACAGTTGTGGATGTTGTTTATAAGGCACAGGTACAGTCAGGGATGTAGAGTTAGATGTGTATACTGCACAGGTACGGTCAGGGATGTTGTTTATAAGGCACAACTACAGTGTTGGATGTAGAATAAAGTGTGTGTACTGCACAGGTACAGTCATGGATGTTGTTTATAAGGCACAGGTACAGTCATGGATGTTGTTTATAAGCACTGGTACAGTCATGGATGTAGAATAAAGTGTGTATACTGGACAGGTACAGTCATGGATGTTTTCAATCAGACACCGGTACAGTCATGGTGTAAAATTTCTAGAGTTGTCTGGACAGTACAGCAGAATCTTAGAGAGGTGGATCTAATAAAAATATTTACTTATACAAATATTTTCTTCGGATGTTATCGATAATTATAGCATTAATTTCCTTTAATATGATCAATTATTTTAATACCATACCCTGCATATTTCAGGTATCACACCACGGTTATCGACCGGTCAAGATGTTTAGCCTATAAATTGTTCCATGCATATAAAATATGTTGAACAATCCGGAAAATCTTGCTCTGACATTCCGTTTTTGATATTAGTGAGCAGGTACAGTCATGGATGTCCGGTACCAGCACTGCCGAGTACAGTTGCGGATGTTAGCTGACAGACCCCACTCCCCAGAACTCTTACCTTTTTTAACATTATAATTTTTTTTGCTAGCTACGGCACTGTTTAAGAGCCAATTGTGAAGAGAACCAACATTACGGGGCATGCGGGTATGTGTTGAAGTGTAGACTGTACGAAGTACGTTCGTATCAACCGGGAGTGGGAGACCACAATCTAATTAAAATTAGATGTTCCGAATCCGCTACCGCTTCTCAAACATCAGATATTTAAGAAGCGGTAGCGGACTCGGAACATCTAATTTTAATTAGATTGGGGAGACAATCGAATCCGGAGCTTACGGTTAGAGATTTACATCCTGTTGGAGAGGGTAGTCGATTGATTGCATGCTTGTTTGTCAAAGAGGCGGATTACCACGTGGTGGCGGGAAACAATGATTTACAGTTAATCCATTGAAGACAATGGTAATAAACAGTTTGCCAATACATTTCCTCTGAAAGTACAAATGAGTGCGATTCTGGGGAGGGGGTTACTCCAGTGCCGGATTTAAGGGGAGCGCAGCCGGCGCTCCAAACCCCCCTCCCTTAAATTGTCAGTTCCTGTAAATCATAGTTTTGTCGAGAAATGTAAAATGTCTACTCGGTAGACCTCATATTTACCCTACAAAATTTCTGGAATCCAGGAGCTTCCGGGGGCTTTGCCCCCTGGGCCCCCACCAGGGCTTCGCACTGGACCCACTGGGGATCTCAAGGCCGCCCCCCCCCCGGACCTCCTGCCTACTTTTTGCGCCTCCCCTTAAACTTCAATTCCTGGATCCGCGCCTGCCATGTAATTCGGAGCTGGATACCTTGTGTTATTATTATACTATAAGTTAAAAAAATTATTTCCGAAATAAGTTCCTGTGCAATAAATATAAATAATTAATTTCCACACATACAATAAAGAAATAATTTATTCAAGATTTTTGCAACAAATAATTTATAAACAGTGTATATGTATATTTTGGACCATGTTAATAAAATTACGACTACAGTGAATATTGGACGGCTTGATAGAAAACAACAGAATTGTTCAGTACATCACTGATCAGCGATCGGGGGGGGGGGGGGGGGGGGGGGGGGGTCCTCAATCACTAAGCACAGCTTAGTAACAGTCAAACAAAAGAACAAATAGCTGGTCATCTAAGTTGATGATTAAGTACTCACAAAAAAATCAAACAAAAACAAAATGAAATGACCCTATGGTGCCCTTATCATATTTAGTACTGTAAACCTTAGCAGTATGGACAGAAACTTCAAAATGTCTACAAACATAATTTTCTTTGCATTCATTCAATTGCAACTTTGCATAAAACACTAGCAGTTCATATTTTTTAAGAACTACAGGCATGTAAAATGACTGCATCATTATAAATCCTTTTGTCAAAACAACTTCAGAAAAAATACACAAGTACTTGAGACAAGAGATCTTAAGAGATTTGACATAAAACAGTAGACTTTTTATGGTTAGGACTCTTGTGTTAAGTATACATGTATACCACAACAATTACCACTTAAAAAATGACTCATTCTCAACATCCTGTAATTACTGCATACACTGTCATTCATATATAAATACATCACTACTTTCTATAAAAAAGAGAGTCCTATGGGCCTTTACGCTCACCTGAGTAGGAGTTTCTCAAGATATGACAAACTCATCCAGACGTGAAGCTAGAACTCTGGACTCGTGTGACATGAATTTTACAATTTAGAAAGGATTATCTCTTCACTATCATGAAAAAATTTCTAGATGGAATGGAGTAGAAAAGATTTTTAAATTGTATTGAATAAATGATCAACTTAGCTCTATCCTCTCATTTGAACTCTTGGGATACACATTTCAGAAATTTGGTAAAGAGCAAATAGCTTACTACCACCATGCAGAAATTTTGCATGGATAATGTCAGGGAGAAAAAAATAAGATTTTGTAGGAACACTGTATGAGGAAAGGTCCACCTGTATGACCAACTGAACCCTACCCTGGGGTCTACCCGAGGGTCTGAATTCTGGATTCTGAGGAGGACCTAGTGACTCAGATGACCTAATAAAGCAGTTTTATAGCATTCAACTGAACCTGTGTATAACTTGTGCCATTTGTCTGAATTCTGGACAGAAAACTAATAAAAATATATTATAAACAGGATATCATCACTAACACAATTTCAGGAAGAGGTGCAAATTTTCTGTTCAGCATATAAAACAAATTTGCAGATAATTATCACAGATAGTTCTGAGGTCAGTTGTCATGGAGATTCCTAGACTGTGAACTTTTTTTAGAATCTGGCTAGATACGATGGAAGGAATTCATCCTCCAGTGTCTGTTGTTCTCTGTAGTCCTTAGCTATTGTGTGTATATGGTTCACGCCTGACTCCAGACAGATCAGCTGTACAAACAATAAACATAGATATCATCAATATATTGTGTGTATCTGTGTCAGACCTGACTCCAGACAGATCAGCTGTACAAACAATAAACATAGATATCATCAATATATTGTATGTATCTGTGTCACCCCAGACTCCAGACAGATCAGCTGTACAAACAATAAACATAGATATCATCAATATATTGTATGTATCTGTGTCACCCCAGACGCCAGACAGATCAGCTGTACAAACAATAAACAGAGATATCATCAATATATTGTGTGTATCTATGTCAGACCTGACTCCCGACAGATCAGCTGTACAAACAATAAACATAGATATCCTCAATATATTGTATGTATCTGTGTCACCCCAGACTCCAGACAGATCAGCTGTACAAACAATAAATATAGATATCATCAATATATTGTTTGTATCTGGTTCATGCCTGACTCCAGACAGATCAGCTGTACAAACAATAAACAAAGATATCATCTATATATTGTATGTACCTGTGTCAGGCCAGACTCCAGACAGATCAGCTGTACAAACAATAAACATAGATATCATCAATATATTGTATGCATCTGTGTCACCCCAGACTCCAGACAGATCAGCTGTACAAACAATAAACAAAGATATCATCAATATATTGTATGTATCTGTGTCACCCCAGACTCCAGACAGATCAGCTGTACAAACAATAAACAAAGATATCATCAATATATTGTATGTATCTGTGTCTCCCCAGACTCCAGACAGATCAGCTGTACAAACAATAAACAGAGATATCATCTATATATTGTATGTATAAACAGAGATATCATCAATATATTGTATGTATCTGTGTCAGACCTGACTCCAGACAGATCAGCTGTACAAACAATAAACAAAGATATCATCAATATATTGTATGTATCTGTGTCTCCCCAGACTCCAGACAGATCAGCTGTACAAACAATAAACAGAGATATCATCTATATATTGTATGTATAAACAGAGATATCATCAATATATTGTATGTATCTGTGTCAGACCTGACTCCAGACAGATCAGCTGTACAAACAATAAACAAAGATATCATCAATATATTGTTTGTATCTGTGTCTCCCTAGACTCCAGACAGATCAGCTGTACAAACAATAAACAGAGATATCATCTATATATTGTATGTATCTGTGTCAGGCTGACTCCAGACAAATCAGCTGTACAAACAATAAACAAAGATATCTTCTATATATTGTATGTATCTGTGTCTCCCCAGACTCCAGACAGATCAGCTGTGCAAACAATAAACATAGATATCATTAATATATTGTATGTATCTGTGTCAGACCTGACTCCAGACAGATCAGCTGTACAAACAATAAACATAGATATCCTCAATATATTGTATGTATCTGTGTCTCCCCAGACTCCAGACAGATCAGCTGTACAAACAATAAACATAGATATCATCGATATATTGTATGTATCTGTGTCACCCCAGACTCCAGACAGATCAGCTGTACAAACAATAAACATAGATATCATCGATATATTGTATGTATCTGTGTCACCCCAGACTCCAGACAGATCAGCTGTACAAACAATAAACAGCGATATCATCAATATATTGTATGTATCTGTGTCACCCCAGACTCCAGACAGATCAGCTGTACAAACAATAAACAGAGATATCATCAATATATTGTATGTATCTGTGTCTCCCCAGACTCCAGACAGATCAGCTGTACAAACAATAAACATAGATATCCTCAATATATTGTATGTATCTGTGTCACCCCAGACTCCAGACAGATCAGCTGTACAAACAATAAACAGAGATATCATCAATATATTGTATGTATCTGTGTCACCCCAGACTCCAGACAGATCATTGAAAACATTAAATTTGTTGTCATCCAAGGACAGTAAAGTGACTGATTTAACAATTTCAGTGTTCTGTCAAATTGGACTCTATCTATATATAGATGAAACAAAAAATGTAAATGTATTTTATTTGGTGTGTACGATATTTGGCAGAACTTGACTTTTCAGCAAGTTTGTGTAGATTTGAGTTAGAGCTTTCTAAATGTACTTTGTATGAATATTTATAGATGAGACATTTAGCAATGTACTTGATTTAGCAGAAGCTGCTTTCCATAAAGACACTAAATAGAATACAAGGCCAAATGTAAAATGTATACAGTAACCTTCCTACATGTATGTCAAGTTATTCAAAATGTTATTAACTGAAGCCATTACCATTTGAGGATTTCGACCTCCATGTCCGGCTTGTCTGACATCAGATGTAAAGGACAGACAGGTTACCCTATAACACAACACAGAGAAAAATCAAAGATGAAGATAAAAATTCAATTATTTATCAATAAACAATGCAATAATTCAAACAGACTGAGCCATTTTTAAAAAAATACTGCATATTTTACCAAGCCAAAAAAAAATCCAAACCACATGATAAAATGTTGCTAATATGTTGACAGTTTCTATTTTTGTAATACCTGGCATCATTTGACAGTCTCTATTTTTGTAATACCTGGCCTCATTTGACAGTTTCTATATTTGTAATACCTGGCATCACTTGACAGTTTCTATTTTTGTAATACCTGGCATCATTTGACAGAGTTTCTATTTTTGCAGGCATGGAATCCCCCTCTAGAAGATCAAACGTGTACAGTCGACTGTTATCATCTAAAACGTAGAACACACAGGGTCTGCTCTGGGACCACCTAGCACACTTCACCCCCATGGTGCCCCAAACTCGGGATGGCCATGACACCAGAGCTGTGTCTAAGGACAGAAACCAACTCATTGTAGGCAATCTCATTAGTGCTCAATTCACCATTTAATAATCAATTATTACACTGTATCATGGTATAAAACACTATGTGTGCTTATAATGTGCTTTAGCATTTTATAAAAATTAGGTATCCACTCTTGTTGTGTGTAATACAATGTTGTATGTCAAAAAAAATTTGATTTTATAACAGTTGACTTCATATTTTGCATGATATTCCTGCATTAATACAATTGTTTATTTCAAAGATTTTTTTTTAGGAAACCATCTTTGGAATCTTAATATTTAAGAAATGAGTTTATAATCATGATGACATTTTTTTTCACAAGCCATATATTGTGATATGTGTAACCATTTCGAAAAATCACAGTAACTTACATTGCAAATGTGACTTTATACATGTATAACTTCTGAGAATTAAATATACAAATCTGTTTGCCTCAAATTAGCCTAGGACACTTTTCATGTGTTTCTATGTAACAATGGCTACTGTAATTTCTCCTTGCACAAAAGAGTTTTATGCAATTGTGACACCATAACTGTATGAATCTAATTTCTTTTCATGAAAGCACATGAGAAGATGAACTTGTAGAATAATACAAAAGAATCAAAAGCAGTCCTATGGTTAATATCAGAAAGTCATCATTGTTTTCCCTGTCATTCCAGAGGGGGGGGGGGGGGGTGATGACATTTACAGATTTTGAATGAATTTGATATTTACCTGTTTTTGTGCTGAATAAATGAACATCTCCATCTCCTGTTGTAACCTGTAAATAACCAGGTATGTTTAATTATGTAACCTGTTAATAGCCGGTATGTTTAATCATGTTACCTGTAAATAACCAGGCATGTTAAATCATGTACACAAACCCCTAAATAACCAGGTATGTTTAATCATGTAACCTGTAAATAACCAGGTATGTTTAATCATGTAACCTGTAAATAACCAGGTATGTTAAATCATGTAACCTGTAAATAATCAGGTATGTTTAATCATGTACACAAACCCCTAAATAACCAGGTATGTTTAACGTTTAATCATGTATAAATACACATTTAAAAAATCTGTCTTATTAAGTTATTCAATGTCTCTGATGATGCTATAGTAATCAATGTTTAAATTACCTGGATAGTTCATTACAGATGCTACATTCATTTAAATAATAACAACTTACCAAGAAACAAGGATGAGAGAATGGGGAGAAATCAATTGTTTTAATGTCCACAGGAGCATCTACAACAAAAACACAATCACACTAATTCACACGGAAGTTGAGATAAAGTCTGTAAAAGAACATTCTACTTTCTGATGATATAACAACCTACCAAAGGAAATCTCTTACAGAACTACTTACCATTGAGAGCAGTAAATGTTCTAGGGTAAGCTCTTGATCCAAATCGTAGACCATGGTACACAAAACCCTGAAACAAGACAAGTGTTCAGCTATTACCTATTACAGAACACATGCAGTAATGCTAAACAAAAAAAATTTTCATAAAGTTGTCCACTATTGTAATACTACAATCCATAATCAGTTCTTCTCTTCTCAAAAACAATGCAGAAATTTTTAACAGAGCTAGTTCCTATCCCTTCCATTTTTTAACTACTTTTAAACAACCTTTTCTCTGTTCAGTATATACAGGGTATCAATAAAACAAATGTCAGTCAAAAGCTACAAAACTAAATGCTATAAAACCTGACTTTAAATATTTTTTTCTGATTCTGATCTTCAGTACTTTGTTAACCTTGAAACAGAGGTCAATACCTTCTCAGTTCCAACATAAAAGTGATTCAGATCTCCAGGTGATAACTGTAACTCAAACGATCTCAATGGCTCAGACTTCTCTCTGAAATTGTAAAATAAATATCCACTCTATCTCTAAAATAAACAGGAATTCGCTATAAACATGCATTATATTTGATGAGACTGCTTTGGTTCCTTGATTTCTGGATATCAACTCTGTGTAGGTAAAGATCCCTGAAGGAACATCATCATGTAATGTGATGATACGTACGTAGAAGGGTTCTATAGATAATTACCAGAATAAACCCAGTAGATAATTACCTGAGGGAGGTCTTAAAATGATGACCTGAGGGGGTTCTTCTGATAATTACCTGAGGGGGTTCTGTAGTTCTTCAGATAATTACCTTAGGGGGTTCTGTAGTTCTTTATATAATTATCTTAGGGGGTTCTGTAGTTCTTTAGATAATTACCTTAGGGGGTTCTGTAGTTCTTTAGATAATTACCTGAGGGGGTTCTGTAGTTATTTAGATAATTACCTGAGGGGGTTCTGTAGTTCTTCAGATAATTACCTGAGGGGGTTCTGTAGTTCTTTAGATAATTACCTGAGGGGGTTCTGTAGTTCTTTAGATAATTACCTGAGGGGGTTCTGTAGTTGGATGGAGGAACTCAACACTAGTTTAATTCTCCCTCCTGGGGACAGTCCAAGGTCAAATTCCGATCCTGCCATGTCTGGACTAGAAATCTCCGCGACAACCTGAATACAACAATTCATCTGGATTACTTATATTGGCTGATGAACACAGTTTATCAAAACTTAAAACTAGGCTTTGTTTATTTTTCTAAATGTGCCATAATACAGTCTCTGAAATGCTCCACTACTTCCATGCTACTGGTGAGCAGAGAGCTGACACAGATAAACATGTAGTAAAACTACTTCAATGGAGCACATGTTGAGCAAATCTAATGGAGTCTGATTGGTACCAGTACAGAGAGCAAAAGCTAAATGTAAGATAAACAAAATACCAATCATCCCTTGTATTCCATTGTTACTCTTACTTTTATCATATATTTATTTGTAATGAAAGCATTGATTCGGATGAATACATGGAATCAATAATATCAATAACTACAACACAAACAAACTCATTTTCTTGATTAATCTTGTATACTGATAATTTGTAAAAATATATATATATTCTTTCATTTTACAATCAATAAAGTTTTGATCTATGTGTAAGAGGATTCAAAAATTAATCAAAAGCATTGATTTATTTTTATTTTGCACATCGGTCCATTCTATAATTATTTTAGGCAAATGCATAATAACTTTCACTTTAAGAGTGAATAATTAGTTAATTATTGATGGAGAGAAAATAGGGAGGAAACAGAGCACAGTGAAAAGTGTGGGAATGTGGTAAACGGCATCTTCGCTAGCCAAGGGTTTCTGATACGCTACTCCCCTCATAAGCCCTTGGCATACGGTGTTAAAAAAAGTTGGGATTTTTTTCTCAAGTTGTGATTGGAGTTGGTCGACATCGTTCGACCAATCAGCAATTGTTTTTTGTAAATGACGATATTTGCATTCGGGATATATCTTGACTCTTTAATATCGGGAATGAAAAACGCAAGTAAACAACGATCCGTAAAATAACATGCCATTCTATGAATAGCTATATGGTGTCATCCAATATCTTAAGCTACGTGCAAAATATGTGATTAAGAATCAATACTGAAGATGTAGATTTGCATTTTAACATGTTTAAATAACAAAGCAACATAACTCAATACCCTCTTGTTAATTATTCTTTAAAAACATTATTTTTTTAAATACGCTTTTTATTTCTGTCGATGACGCAATCTGTGTAAGAATCGTGATCACGTGACGAAAACAATCCCGTCTTTTGTCAGCACCGTATGCCAAGGGTTTATGAGGAGAGTAGCGTATCAGAAACCCTTGGCTAGCGAAGATGGGCAAACGGTGAGTGAATAGAGAACACAATAAAGTGAAAAGTGAGTTAAAGCACTGAGTGAACAGAGAGCGTAATGAAATGAAAGGTGAGTTAATGCACTAAGTGTACATAAAGCAAAATAAAGTGAAAGGTGAGTCAACACACTGAGTGAACAGAGAGCACAATATAGAGAAAGGTGAATGATGCACTGCACTGACTGAACAGAGAGCACAATAAAGAGAAACGTGATTGATGCGCTGCACTGACTGAACAGAGAGCACAATAAAGTGAAAGGTGATTGATGCGCTGCACTGACTGAACAGAGAGCACAATATAGAGAAAGGTGATTGATGCGCTGCACTGACTGAACAGAGAGCACAATAAAGTGAAAGGTGATTGATGCGCTGCACTGACTGAACAGAGAGCACAATATAGAGAAAGGTGATTGATGCGCTGCACTGACTGAACAGAAAGCACAATAAAGTGAAAGGTGAGCTAATACACTGAGTGAATGGAAAGGAAAACAATATACAGGTAGTGGTACATTTAAGGGCCGTACATTTCATAAAAACAAGGAATAATTTACCCAGAATTTCAGAACGCCAAGCTCTTCACAGGAAACAAGCTGGAAGCTCAGACCACCAGAGGAATCTAAAAAGGAATATATACAACATGTAAAGTGATGTGTTCCTCCTGTCTGTGGGTTCAAAACTGAAGCATAAAAGAAGCCATGTCATGTAAATGTGACCTAATTTTACTATATGTGTTAATGTCTAACATTCTTACCTTCATGAGAATCGTGTGTATCTGAATCACTGTGTTATAGGTAGGCTATATTACCTGTGTTATATGTGTTAATGTATAACATTCTTACCTTCATGAGAATCGTGTGTATCTGAATCACTGTGTTATAGGTAGGCTATATTACCTGTGTTATATGTGTTAATGTCTAACATTCTTACCTTCATGAGAATCGTGTGTATCTGAATCACTGTAAAGAAAACAAAATACTAAATAACATCTTTTTAAAAGGAATTAAAAAAAATCTTTATTTGTAAACAGCAGAAAATGATATTTTCTTTTGAAAAACCAATTATAGTATATCAATATACAAGTTTACCTGTCTGTGTAAGATACAACAGGACTAAGGGTGGTAACCAATTATAGTATATCAATATACAAGTTTACCTGTCTGTGTAAGATACAACAGGACTAAGGGTGGTGACAGGGCTCTGATGATTCTTCACCTCATTAATACCAGCTGTAAAAACAGATCATAAACTTGTTAATTTACTAGCCTTCATTTCAATACCAGCTGTACAGATAGTAAACCTCTTAAAGACTTCAATTCAGCCAGAAGAAAAAAAACCCAGAAGTCTCTGACGAGACTGTAGCTCTACTGGTTGGTCTTATAAAGGAAGATAAAAGTAGCACTTGGACTTGAAACTTTGCAACAGCAATAAATAGAATAATGATCCTTGGTTTTGTCTCTTTTTATGGCAAGATTTATTGCAATCAGACTAAAACTGTAGCAGGAGTAGCCTTTTTAAACAATTTTACAGAAATTTCGATTTAAGTAACCATGGCAACATTATTCAACAAAATCAAAAACAATAACATCAATTATGTATCTCAGTGTAGTCTACTTGTATGCAAAGTTAAACTGAAATCAGACAAAAAGTGTAGGAGGAGTAGCGTTTTGAAAGTATTTCAAGAAAATTTCTATTTTTAGTAACCATGGCAACACCGTCCATCAAAATCCAAAACTGGTATAGAGAATTATGTATCTTAGTGTATCCTACTTGTGTGCTAAGATATACTAAAATCAGACCAAAACTGTACGAGGAGTAGCATTTTGAAGGTATTTCAAGGAATTTTTTATTTATAGTAACCAAAGCAACACTGTTCATCGAAATCAAAACAGATATCAAGAGTTATTTTAGTGTAGTCTACTTGTTTGCCATGTTATATTGAAATCAGACAAAAACTATAGAAGGAGTAGTGTTTTGAAAGTTTTTCACAGAAATTTCTATTTTTAGTAACCAAGGCAACACCATTTATTGAAATCAAAAACCAATATACAGAATTATGTATCTTAGTATAGTCTACTTGTGTGCTAAGTTATACTGAAATCAGATCAAAACTGTAGGAGGAGTAGCGTTTTGAAAGTTTTTCACAGAAATTTCTATTTTTAGTAACCATGGCAACACCGTTCATTGAAATCAAAAAATGATATAAAAAAATTATGTAATACTATCTTAGCGTAGTCTACTTGTGTGCTAAGTTATATTGATATCAGACAAAAACTGTAGGAGTAGTAGCATTATGAAAGTATTTCCAAGAAATTTCTATTTTTAGTAACCATGGCAACACCATTCATTGAAATCAAAAACCGATAAACAGAATTATGTATCTTTGTGTAGTCTACTTATGTGCTAACTTATATTGAAATCAAACCAATATGGTAGGAGGAGTAGCGTTTTGAAAAATTGTTTACAGACGGACAGACAGACGGACAGACAATGGACACCTTACTATCGCATAAGCTCTTCTATTCTCTGACCAGTAGAGCTAAACATTCAGAACATATAACTAAGAAATACAAATAATCCTTCATATGTATTACCCGTACAATAGGTAAAATACACAACTAAGAAATAAGTACTAATAAAAGTAAAATATCCCACCTGTGTTATAGGTAGGATATCGTAGTAAGTGGTCCGAGTTCTCGTATTTTATAGATTTGTGTAAAGCTGGTGGCTCTCTGAGATCCCAGGCACAGACTGAACCATCCACCTACAAACAACATCATCTATACAAATATAAACAATTAAACAGAAAAGACACAACACACTGAACCTTCCACCTACAAACAACATCATCCATATAAACACTTAAAACAGAAAAGACACAACACACAGAACCATCCACCTACAAACATCATCCATACAAATAGGAATGCTTTAACAGGAAAGACACAGCATTTCAAACTAACTTATCATTTATCTATTAAATGTAACCAAGTCTCCCTTATTCCATATACAGTAAAACACCCTTGAAGTGAAGTGCCAGGGATGAACAATAGTGATGTGTTATATATATAAATGTGATTTGATATATCCATTAAGTTCATTTAAAACTACAGGAAATGAAAATCATTTCACTGTAATGATGAATTCATTATGAACATGTTTGCTGTAGCCATATTTTACTCTATAGGTATTATGTCTATCATTGGATGATCCCAGCATGTGACTAAATAAAAAGAATTACACTCCTACTTACCATCCCAGCAAAGACTAGAGTCGTCTTGTACGGACTGAAACAACAGCAAACCGGCTGTGATTCACAGGCGAGGATCCTACACAGGAGAACAAAGCAAAATCACACAAAGTACTGAATCTATACAGCCCTAGAGTACAATATAAAGGCAGTTCTAAAATAAATATTTGGTGAAATCTGGTTTACTTATGTTACTTCCAAGTTACTTATGAATACATGTAATATTTTTTTCTTTCATGCAACAACAATGAATAAAGACAAACTGTATCTACAAGAAGTCCTCTGACAGATAATATTTTATCAGTGATTTAGGACTATGTACCTTTGAGGATAAGATGGTTCATTTGTGTTCCACACACAGATAATACCCTTCCTGTCCACAGGATTAGACTCAGAGGCCTGAAATAAACAAAACAGAGATCATTCCTATTTACATCTTCTCACATCAATCCTTATACTCAAAGCTGACTCTAATACAATGCTGTCTGAGAGTGTTCGAAATTAACACAGCAAAGTTCCCCCCCCCCTAAAATTATCACTCGGAATAGAATAGGGCTGGGACGATACAACTTTTTCTATATCGATACGTATCCCGATATTTGAGCCACGATAGGATATGTATCACGATATGCTTAATTGGTTATAAATTCTTTTTTTATATCGAAATGAACAAAACATTTCTTCACAAATAAGAATAATTTATTCAAAGAAATTGTATACCTTTTGTAAAACTTAATTATTTTACACAAGTGGTGTTAATTATTATGTATTTCATATTTATATTTATATTAAGCATATTTATTTTATATATTAAACCCAAAATGTTAAGTAAACAAAGAAAAACATATGTCAGAATTTTTTGGGCGATATTTCGATATTTCTTCATATGTATCGATATGCGTATCATCCTCACATTGAATCGATATTATCGATATCTCGATATATCGTCCCAGCCCTAGAATAGAATATAAAGCCAGATGTGGTCAGTTATAGATATTTACCTCTGCACACTTGCTATAGGCTGTAAGTAAGTAGTTTGGCTGGGTGGGAGAAAAATGGGCAAATTCTACACAGCGTCCTGGAAACAGAAACAAAATACATGTAAACCAAATTACAACATCTATATGCACTTCATTTTATGTATTTATCAATAATTGTTCACTGAATTATATACTAATCATCAAAGGCTAATGGATAAGTTAATTATAAGATAACAATTCTTAACTTGCCAATGAAGGGCAAGTTCACAATAAGTTTCTCACTCAAGTTTATACTCACCCATGAGTAAAGAAAGACAAGTTAATTGTCAGTACCCTTCTCACTCAGGAGCAGAATCACCATTAAGATAGCTTTGAGTATCCCTAAATGACATTCACACTTACCCTTAGTAAATACAGACATGTTAGCTGTGAGTATGCCTTACTCAGACTCGCACTTTCCCTTGAGTATAGATAAACAAGTTAACTGTGAGTATCCCTAACTCATACTCAGATTTACCTTTGTGTATACAGAGACAAGTCAGCTGTGAGTATCCCTCACTCATACTTACCCTTGAGTATAGACAGACAAGTCAGCTGTGAGTACCCCTCACTCAGACTCAGATTTGTTCTATTTTCTGCTTTCTCCTGCCTCTGTTGATCTTTTTCCTCATCAAGAAGAATGGATATCACCTACAACCACAATCATTCTGTAATCTGATCTCAGTCTGTATAAGTTAACCTGATCATATATACCTTGGGAGGGATTTTTATGACAGTGAGTCGCTTAATACAGTGGATCTCTATGGCAGTTTTAACTGTACATGAACAGTTTTTAAGATCCTTTGAACATTAAATGTGTATAATAATTTTTACATTTGAATTCAAAGCACAGGTGAAAATACAAATGTATACAAAACAAGAGGCCCATGGGCCACAGCGCTCACCTGAGTAACTTTGGCCTTACTGTTTTTCACCTGATTTCTCTCTCCCCCCCCCCCCCCCGGTAGTACTTATTGTGGTCCCACCCTACCCCCGGGGATCATGATTTGAACAATTGGAATCTACACTACCCCAGGATGCTTCCAAGTAAGTTTCAGCTTATCTGGCCCAGTGGTTCTTGAGAAGAAGATTTTTAAAGATTTTTCCTATATATTTCAATGTAAAACTTGGATTCCCTATTGTGGCCCCACCCTACCCCCGGGGGTCATGATTTGAATAATTTACAATTTACACTACCCCAGCATAATTCCACATAAGTTTCAGCTTTTCTGGCCCAGTGGTTCTTGAGAAGAAGATTTTTAAAGATTTTTCCTTTATATTTCAATGTAAAACTTGGATTCCCTATTGTGGCCCCGCCCTACCCCCGGGGGTCATGATTTGAACAATTTAGAATCTACACTACCCCAGCATGCTTCCACATAAGTTTCAGCTTTTCAGGTCCAGTGGTTCTTGAGAAGAAGAATTTTCAAAGATTTTTCTTATTAATTTCAATGTACAACTTGGACTCCCTATTATGGCCCCGCCCTACCCCCGGGGGTCATGATTTGAACAATTTAAAATCTACACTACCCCAGGATGCTTCCACATAAGTTTCAACTTTTCTTGCCCAGTGGTTCTTGAGAAGAAGATTTTTAAAGATTTTTCCTATATATTTCTATGTAAAACATTGATTCCACATTGTGGCCCCGCCCTACCCCCGGGGGTCATGATTTGAACAATTTAGAATCTACACTACCCCAGGATGCTTCCATATAAGTTTCAGCTTTACTGGCCCTTTGGTTCTTGAGAACAAGATTTTTTAATGACCCCACCCTATTTTTGTCTTCTCTTGATTATCTCCCCTTGTGAGGGGACTTGGCCCTTCATTTTAACAATTTAAATTCCCCTTCACCCAAGGATGCTTTGTACCAAGTTTGGTCAAAATTGGCCCAGTGGTTCTTGAGAAGAAGTCAAAAATGTGAAAAGTTTACAGACGGACGGACAGACAGACAGACAGACGGACGGATGGACGACGGACAAAATGTGATCAGAAAAGCTCACTTGAGCCTTCGGCTCAGGTGAGCTAAAAACCCTGTTTCATGAGTGTAATAAATTCCATATCCAATAAACTCCAAAATAATGACTTTTCTGTTTATTACATTTTCTTTGCCCCTGTCTTTTCTTAACATAGAGTCATAGGCTGTGACATCACAGCTGAGCAGTTGTGAGATGTCATAGCTAAGTGAGTGTGAGATTGAAAATTGTAAACATGGATTTTAACAATAATTTGGAGAAATTTGACAGTTTTAGTCCATGTCAGGATGGTTTTTTACTCTTACTACCTATACTGAGTAAAGTGTAAACGTACATGTACTTATTGACTCTTACTACCTATAGGGAGTACTGTAAAGTGTAAACGTACATGTACTTATTGACTCTTACTACCTATAGGGAGTACTGTAAAGTGTAAACGAACATGTACTTATCGACTCTTCCTACCTATAGGGAGAACTGTAAAGTGTAAATATTTACTCTTACTACCTATAGGGAGTAAAGTGTAAATATTTACTCTTACTACTTATAGGGAGTAATGTAAAGTGTAAACGTACTTATTTTAGTGGTAGTCATATGTCAGTGCCTTTCTCACTGCTTCTTATTTATGTACACACCAATGTGATTAAACCTAATACACGTCATTGTTAAACCTCAAGTTCACTAATTTATGATTGTAATAATCAGTTGAAGAGGATGATCGCACTAAATTTTAAGTGAGCTTATATATGTAAGTTTACAGTATTTTCTTTGTAACACTGTGCAGGGAAGGAAAATGGCTAGTTTTGAGTGTGTACCTGCCCGCCTTTTGCATGAACAAGTTCATACCTGCCCCACCTTTTGTGTATGAACGAGTTTGTACCTGCCCCAACTTTTATATGAATGAGTTCATACCTGCCCTGCCTTTCGTATGAACCAGTTTGTACCTGCCCTGCCCTCTATATGAACGAGTTTGTACCTACCCCACCTTTGTATGAATGAGTTTGCACCTGCCCCGCCTTTTGTATGAACAAGTTCGTACCTACCCCACCTTTTGTATGAATGAGTTCGTACCTGCCCCGCCTTCTGTATGAACGAGTTCATACCTGCCCCGCCCTCTGTATGAACGAGTTCGTACCTGCCCCGCCTTTTGTACTAACAAGTTCGTACCTGCCCCGCCTTTTGTACTAACGAGTTCGTACCTGCCCCGCCTTTTGTATGAAAGAGTTCAGTCGTCCCAGATCCTGCTGTTTGTTCTGCTGAGCTGTTTCCTCCTCGTCTAAATCCTTCTCACCATCTCCCCCTGTAATCACATGGAATCCCACATATAATGCACTCAGAATAAATAACAACATTATATTCCTCCTCATCTAAATCCTTCTCACCATCTCCCCCTGTAATCACATGGAATCCCACACATAATGCACTCAGAATAATAACAACATTATATAGACATACAAGAAAATGTCCAAGTCATTTAGGACTATGCAGTATGGTGAAAAAGGTTTAGATACTGCAACTCATGAAAGTAATGAAAGAAATTTTAGAAAATCTACATCTCTTAATCCTTTCCTTAACATTACACTGAGTTAACCTACATAGATATCTGTCTTTAAAGGGGCCTAGACACAGTTGCATTGTTTACATTTTAAATTCCTATGCTTATTCAAAAAAAAAAAAACCTGTTAAATGAATTGACCTTACATGAATATTCTTAGAATTCAATGACAATGACATTTTTCTTTACAACACGTCAATCATCTTTTGTAAACAGTGCATGGGCTCTGTTATTGTTTATGTTTACGTTTCACCGGGTGTGTTTTATTTGTTAAACTCTGCATACATCACTGAGCATGAACTGACAACACAAGTGAGTTGGTTTTGCTTTCTCACATTTCTACTCTGAATTCTCTGGATTATAGTTTTAATATTTTTCATTAATACACAACAAAATTTCTACTTTTCTTAAGGATAAAGTTTACTTTGTGGAAGTGCAAGGATATGTCTATCAAACACGTCCCAAAATTTGTAGTTTCAATAATTTCCAGATAAATGTCATTTCTGAATATGCTTTTATTATATTTCCATTTGAAATTCTATAGCAACATATAAGTCATGATATTGTACAGAAAATTTTAGAAAACATGAACTTCAAATCTGTGTCCAGGCCCCTTTAACCATCTCCCCATTTATGTTGTTAATACAATGTTGTTTGAACAGTATCTGATTATTCGACACAGCAAGATAAAATATATATATATATGTAAACTTGAATTCTCCCCTTGTTCTGTGTGTAAATGATCACTAAGTGTCTGTAGGTTAGTAACCCTAGTCCTTACTTCCACAGCCTGTGAAGTCCTCCGCCAGATGCTGGGTCCACTTCTGACGGACATCTATCTCCTCTGTCTGGATCTCTCGGTCTATGTTGTCATCATTAGTTTGGACATAAGCCTACAAAATCAGGTCAGAACACTGACTATTTATCTAGAATACAAATGTCTGACATTAAGGAGTACATGTAGTGATAAAAAAATCTAATAAATTGATAAAATTAATTTACAGGTACATCTTCTGAATACCTTAAGACAGTCACATACTTGTATATTATTATTTACATTTTAATATTCTTCATTCCATATTTATTACAATTAAAGCCTGTGGTGATTTCTCTAACCTGTTTGGTGTCTGTACGGCCAAAGCTTCGGATATAAAGGTCATATTCTTTAACAGGTGGAAGGTCAAACAGATCATATGATGAGACATCTAGTTCTATCATCTGTAGTAGGTCCTGGGCACGCTTGGCAGTCTTACTGTTGGCCTTACGACTAATGGCTCGCTGTCTGGCCCCGGTGAAATTAATCAAGCCACGAGTGACAGGTCGAGCGGGTTCCGAGTCTGAATCCTGATCATCATACTGTTTGTTGTATTGGTTATACCTCTGCAATTAAAAATTTACAAGGTCCAAATAATCATAAATTCAGACCAGACAGTTTACAATTCTTAAGCAATTTGATACAGTCAGATGGATACTTCATTTCATTCTTCATCCAAAAATCTACAACCTCTCAATCAAAATAAATATTTATTGATATTTCAAAAAGCCTACATTTTCTACTTTGAATATTGTCATCAGACTGAAGAATCAAAGCATGGACCACAATGAAGATTAATTTAGACTTTTACGACTTACAGGCGAGTCATTCCCTTGCCTCGAGTCCTGATACAATCTCTCATTCTCTTGATCGAGGGCCCGTAAGACTTCATCCATCTCGGAGTCCTATGAACAATAAGTATACTTACTCTGTAAATAATCACTGTTACATGTCATGTGATATATAAATATAAAAGTATCTATAACATGTGTCACTCGTAAAGCTTGAATTCAAACCCTTGTGACTGCTTTAGGAAATTATGAAAACTTAGCATTGTAGAATTAAATATTGCTCAGCTACATGTGCATGTACATGATTGCACATGTGTGTGTAAGGCATCTAATGAAGTGTTGGATAAGACAGGGTTTGAGAACAGACTGACAAGCAAAATATATTACTGGCCAGCTACACCTTCATTTACAAATTTAATTATATACATTATTGTTTATATAAGAATGATTTCAAAAAATCAACTTAAACTTACCCTGTGTCTTGTTTCTATTTATTGACTGTTGTAATTAAATTTTTTAAAAATTTCCTTTACAATGAAAACATTTTGTCATCAAATCTTTAAAAAAAAGGTGTAGTTTAAGACTTTAGGAGGCTTCAGTCTACATGATGTTACTATATCCAGTAAAATGGTATATGTTAATTACTGTAGATTCCTTATCTTTCGCGAGCACTTTAGCTTATTATCACAAAATGTCTCTTTAATGTCAAATAGTGAGAACATTAATTTGCGAGTAGACAGTTGATCTAGAAATTTTACATTGATTTCAGCACCATAAAAATAAAAAGAGTAATTTTATTTCGCAAGTGGTGCTTGTCGCGAAATTACGCGATATTTAATTCCTTGTGTATATTTAGGAATCTACAGTACACCATACAGGGTGCTTCTGTGAATTGTTGCAAGCATAAAGTGTCAATCAGAATGTGTCAACCAAGTGACAAATCTAAACACAGTTACACTGATTGTCATTAAACTTCAAATTCCACCCAACTGATAGAAGACAGAATGTACGTAAAGATCTAAATCTAAACATAGTTACACTGATTGTCATTAAACTTCAAATTCCACCCAACTGATAGAAGACAGAATGTACGTAAAGATCATCAGACAGATTTTATAAGTCTCCATAACATTAACTGTTTTGAAACAGCATAGAGGCACTGTAACCCAGCATTTCAATGCTCATTTACAACATCACTGATGGATTACAATACTAGTTTAAATTTACACAGCTGTTATTGATGCCTGACCACACACACACACACACACACAATACATCCAGATATTTACTGAGTAGTCCAGACCAGCTCCGCCTTTACGTGGCGTCTTTTGTAGATCATAATCTGACAATTGCTACATAAACAAAGGGATAATCTTAGACAAAGGCTAGGCAAGCACGAATAACAAGCAGTGTTAATATTTTTTTTAGCCCTTTTCCATTTATACTACAGTAAAATTCTACACATAAAGAACTATGAACAGAATATAAGATGTACTACCTTTCCTTTGACGACAGGTGTGTCATCTTCTTCCTCTTCAAAGTCATCTTCATAATCCTGAGCAAAAGATGAAAGAGTTAAAAGTTACATAATCAATGCACAAATAAGATCTTGGAGAAAACAAAGTACTCTGGGATGAGTGAAAATATTACTAAAACAAAGTATTCTGGGGTGAGTGTAAATATTACTAAAACAAAGTATTCTGAGGTGAGTGAAAATATTACTAAAACAAAGTATTCTGGGGTGAGTGTAAATATTTCTAAAACAAAGTACTCTGGGGTGAGTGTAAATATTACTGAAACAAAGTATTCTGGGGTGAGTGTAAATATTACTGAAACAAAGTATTCTGGGGTGAGTGACAATATTACTAAAACAAAGTATTCTGGGGTGAGTGTAAATATTACTGAAACAAAGTACTCTGGGATGAGTGAAAATATTACTAAAACAAAGTATTCTGGGGTGAGTGTAAATATTACTGAAACAAAGTATTCTGGGGTGAGTGAAAATATTTCTAAAACAAAGTATTCTGGGGTGTGTGTAAATATTACTGAAACAAAGTATTCTGGGGTGAGTGAAAATATTACTGAAACAAAGTACTCTGGGATGAGTGAAAATATTACTAAAACAAAGTATTCTGGGGTGAGTGACAATATTACTAAAACAAAGTATTCTGGGGTGAGTGTAAATATTACTGAAACAAAGTATTCTGGGGTGAGTGTAAATATTACTGAAACAAAGTACTCTGGGATGAGTGAAAATATTACTAAAACAAAGTATTCTGGGGTGAGTGTAAATATTACTGAAACAAAGTATTCTGGGGTGAGTGAAAATATTTCTAAAACAAAGTATTCTGGGGTGTGTGTAAATATTACTGAAACAAAGTATTCTGGGGTGAGTGAAAATATTACTGAAACAAAGTACTCTGGGATGAGTGAAAATATTACTAAAACAAAGTATTCTGGGGTGAGTGTAAATATTTCTAAAACAAAGTACTCTGGGGTGAGTGTAAATATTACTGAAACAAAGTACTCTGGGGTGAGTGTAAATATTACTGAAACAAAGTATTCTAGGGTGAGTGTAAATATTACTGAAACAAAGTACTCTGGGATGAGTGAAAATATTACTAAAACAAAGTATTCTGGGGTGAGTGAAAATATTACTGAAACAAAGTATTCTGGGATAAGTGTAAATATTACTGAAACAAAGTATTCTGGGGTGAGTGTAAATATTACTGAAACAAAGTACTCTGGGATGAGTGAAAATATTACTAAAACAAAGTATTCTGGGGTGAGTGTAAATATTACTGAAACAAAGTATTCTGGGGTGAGTGAAAATATTACTAAAACAAAGTATTCTGGGGTGAGTGAAAATATTACTGAAACAAAGTACTCTGGGGTGAGTGTAAATATTACTGAAACAAAGTATTCTAGGGTGAGTGTAAATATTACTGAAACAAAGTACTCTGGGATGAGTGAAAATATTACTAAAACAAAGTATTCTGGGGTGAGTGAAAATATTACTGAAACAAAGTATTCTGGGATAAGTGTAAATATTACTGAAACAAAGTATTCTGGGGTGAGTGTAAATATTACTGAAACAAAGTATTCTGGGGTGAGTGAAAATATTTCTAAAACAAAGTGTTCTGGGGTGTGTGTAAATATTACTGAAACAAAGTATTCTGGGGTGAGTGAAAATATTACTGAAACAAAGTACTCTGGGATGAGTGAAAATATTACTAAAACAAAGTATTCTGGGGTGAGTGTAAATATTACTGAAACAAAGTATTCTGGGGTGAGTGAAAATATTTCTAAAACAAAGTATTCTGGGGTGTGTGTAAATATTACTGAAACAAAGTATTCTGGGGTGAGTGAAAATATTACTGAAACAAAGTATTCTGGGGTGAGTGTAAATATTACTAAAACAAAGTATTCCGAGGTGATTTAAAATATTACTAAAACAAAGTATTCTGGGGTGAGTGTAAATATTACTGAAACAAAGTATTCTGGGGTGAGTGTAAATATTACTGAAACAAAGTATTCTGGGGTGAGTGACAATATTACTAAAACAAAGTATTCTGGGGTGTGTGTAAATATTACTAAAACAAAGTATTCTGGGGTGAGTGTAAATATTTCTAAAACAAAGTATTCTGGGGTGTGTGTAAATATTACTGAAACAAAGTATTCTGGGGTGAGTGAAAATATTACTGAAACAAAGTAATCTGGGGTGAGTGTAAATATTACTAAAACAAAGTATTCCGGGGTGAGTGAAAATATTACTAAAACAAAGTATTCTGGGGTGAGTGTAAATATTACTGAAACAAAGTATTCTGGGGTGAGTGTAAATATTACAGAAACAAAGTATTCTGGGGTGAGTGTAAATATTACTGAAACAAAGTACTCTGGGATGAGTGAAAATATTACTAAAACAAAGTATTCTGGGGTGAGTGTAAATATTACTGAAACAAAGTATTCTGGGGTGAGTGTAAATATTTCTAAAACAAAGTATTCTGGGGTGTGTGTAAATATTACTGAAACAAAGTATTCTGGGGTGAGTGTAAATATTACTAAAACAAAGTATTCCGAGGTGAGTGAAAATATTACTAAAACAAAGTATTCTGGGGTGAGTGTAAACATTACTAAAACAAAGTATTCTGGGGTGAGTGTAAATATTACTGAAACAAAGTATTCTGGGGTGAGTGACAATATTACTAAAACAAAGTATTCTGGGGCGAGTGTAAATATTACTGAAACAAAGTATTCTGGGGTGAGTGTAAATATTACTGAAACAAAGTATTCTGGGGTGAGTGTAAATATTACTAAAAAAGTATTCTGGGGTGAGTGTAAATATTACTGAAACAAAGTATTCTGGGGTGAGTGAAAATATTACTAAAACAAAGTATTCTGGGGTGAGTGAAAATATTACTAAAACAAAGTATTCTGCGGTGAGTGTAAATATTACTGAAACAAAGTATTCTGGGGTGAGTGAAAATATTACTGAAACAAAGTAATTCTGGGACAGTATTTTTTTTTATTGGTACATGTAGTTTATCTGTCTGCATGAAAAGTGACATTTACAAAGTTAAGACTGACCTCAAAATCGTCCTCATAATCACCGTAGCCATTTTCTTCCTCCTCGGGTTCATTCTCCTAAAACAATTCAATTATCTCACTCATACCATATACCATCTAATTTGTCATTAATTTTTATTCTTTAATTATAGATTGATTCATGGATTGAATTGCTTTTCATACAGATGAACTACTCCAACTCTAAGTTTTAATGTTTATAATGAGTCCACGCTTACAGTGAAGAGATTTTCATTCCCTTTAGTTCTAAAATATTATAAACTTATCATATATAACAAATAACATTTATAAACAAATAAAATTGTTCACCTGTGACACTTTGCTATAAGCATGTTTTACCGTATACCTGCATTTAGAAGGAAGTAGTTACTACAGGTCACCCCATTTTTTACAAAACCTTATTTTCATATAGTATTAATTTGGTGTTCATAAGCGAGACAAAATTTTCATGAAGTTCAGTTATTGTATTATACAGTCTTTAATAATGAAAATACACACATGAGAATGAAATTTTTTGTGGGCAGACAGTTTCATAATTATGTGAAAATAAAGTTCTTTTGAATGAAAAGTGATTTACAGTTCTTCCAACTTTTAAACAGTAAAATTATCCATGTACATTTATAACACTAAAAATTTAGCATGCACATTTAAGGAATCCATTAAAAATGTAGCTTAGCATGCAAACTATTGATGCAGTGCATTGTTATACATTTTATATTTTCTTTGTAAATTATCATACATGTATACATACATGCATGTAGGGGTCAAGCAATCCTCACCATTTTGTGAGCCCTTGTACCAATGTAACACAGGAAATACTGGATATTATCACTCAGATTTAAAAATCAAGTTGACCAAAGCTAATCAGTTACAAGGAACATGCAATATATAGGAGGTGATAAGCTTTTTAAGGGATATATAAAGCAATATAACTATAGTACTGTGTGCTTCAAACATGACTTACTCTCTTTCTGCTTGGTTTAGCCGATTTCCTCTGAAACATGATTTTTTACATGACTACATTTTAAACTCTTAGCACCTGCAATTTTGTTTGGTATATCACAATGAAACTAAACTTTCTTTATAAAGGACAGTGTATATGATTATATTGGAATTTGGCCCCTTATTTGATATAAAAATCAAAACACAGTTAAAATTGTAATAGTTTGCAATTAAGAACTTTAAATGATGCTTGTTTTAAAACCAGCATGAATTTTGATTCAAAGCATACACGGTCACAAGAGGGTGACAAAATAGAAAATTTTACTGAATTTCTTCAATTCTGATGGAATTCCATCAAATTGGAGATACCTTTCACTTCTAGGAACATAGAGAACAAGCTTGCCTATCTGAGATTTTCATACACGAGATGAATCTCATACTAGTGCAGGAAATACATGTTTATAAATCTGGTCGATATGCAAGCTTGTGCTCTGTGTTTTCTGAAACAAAATGTGCTTTAAAATTAATGAAAATTAGAATAAAAAATGAAAAAATTCAGAAATTGATACTGTAGACATACTTTTAAGATTAATTTATGCTATGTACACAGTAACAAAGGACAAGGTATGATAACGGCCGAATCTGGCCCCTTATTTGATGTAAAAATCAGAACACAGTTAAAATTGTGATAGTTTGTAGTTAAGAACTTAAAAAGATGCTTGTTTTAAAACCAGCACTAATTTTGATTCAAAACAAACATGGAGCTAGGCCACAGGAGGGTGCAGAAGTAGGACATTTTAACAAATTTCCTCAATTCTGGTGGAATTTCGTCCAATTTGAGATACTTTTCACTTTGGGAAACATTATAAGAGCACAAGCTTGCCTGTCTGAGATTTTTATACATAAGATGCATCTGATACTAGTGTATGAAATACATAAATTTGTAGATAGGCAAGCTTGTGCTCTATGTTTTCTGAAACAAAATGTGCTGTAAAATCGATGAAAATTGGCATAAAAACGAGAAAATTCAGAAATAGACATATTTTCTCACCTTCCTGTGACCTCTGTGTATCCCATAACTTAGAACCAATACTCATTTTGTGGAAAGGGTAACAACAGGTTTTTATTGATAAACTTTGGCATCATTCTAAAAGACACCCCAAACCAAGGGCTAAAAAGGGGTCTTAACTTATCTTGTCCTTTTCTACAGAAATTTGTAACAGCGTACCTAAAGTGCGAGTAAGACATACAATGGTAATAAAAAAAATCTGCACAATTTTCTACATGGATTGAGCAGAAATTGTGATTCTGTGGAATTATGATCCCCCCTCCCTTGGAAAAAAGTATGTTTACAGTAAATTCTGTGACCTTCGTGTGTCTTCTGTGTATCACTTGGAATCAATACTCATTGATAGCAGGGATGAAAAGAGGTTTTTGATTGTAAACTATTGCATCATTCTATAATATGATAATCACATAATAGCTATGGCAACATGTAGAAAATCTTGTCAGATGTAAATAGTTCTTTACAGATTTAACAATTAGTCACCTTTTCCCGTTCTCTTTCTTTCTCTTTTTCCCTTTCTCGTTCCTTTTCTCTCTCTTTTTCTTTCCTGCGTCTCCGTTCCTCTTCCTGTGACAAAGCAGAAAATATTGGTATCATATATTGTATACAATAAACTGTATAATACCTTGTGTATGATGATATCTTTCTTGCATTTTGTTGACTATGATAATATAGCAACCAGAGCTTTGAAGAGGTTGCTTTTTATGTTTAAATCCTATCTTTCTTTATGTAACAACAATGACTACATACATGACATAAGCATTATTGGACATTTTCACCTGTAACTGACATTTTCTCATCTCTAAAATACTTACATCCTCCTCTCGGTGTCTACTTTTACCCCCTTCTTTTGCTTCTCTTTTTTCTCGTCTCTCTTGTCTTTGTCTTTCTCTTTCATCCTGTTTTAAAGGAATAAATTACATGTGTCTTATTATGTTGTGAAAACTGAAAGACTTATATCAACTACATGGACTGTTATATGATAAAGACTAATCAATGATTGCAACCTTCTCAAAGACTTCATAAAATCATTATATGCTTTCAACAAATATCAATTGTAAACCAAAGCCTGATCGCCATGCAGACATGATTTAATAATCATAATTATTTTTTTTTTCCCTGCTCTTGCCATCAAAGTAGTTACAGTAGGTTTTTTTCTATTAATTTGAAGTGAAACATTAATACACCTTTATCTTGGGAAAGATGAACAAATAAACAAAGAATGACAAATTATAAAGTTACCTTATTCCTCACTTATTGTCTACATTTATCAAGTAATTCAAATAAATATAAAGGTGAGATTAAAAAAAAAAACAGGTGTTAAAAACTAATTATCATCAATAATTAATCCTGTTTTAAAGGAATAAATTATACATTTCTTATTATGTTGTGAAAACTGAAAGATGTATATCAATGCATGGACTGTTATATGATAAACATTTCAAAACTACTACTTATCAATATATAACAGTGGGTTGTGAAGTCATGTGGGTTACATGCTGGTGGGTTAGGGTTGATGATGAAATTGTGACCTATAAAATTCTCCATACATCACTGGTGCAAGAATCAACATTTTGATTCAGTATGTGACCCAAAAAATGTTTGCTGGTACTCAATAAAAATAAAAATTTAAAGTGTCACCAGAAAGCATAAAGAAATGCCAACAAAACAAAAGTAAGCTGAAAGACCTCGTCCAGAGTTCTCTCCCCTCTCTTCTCTCTCTGACGATGTTTCTCCCTTTTGTAACCCTGAACAACAGGCACATATATCTTATTTTTTAAAGCTACAACGTATCAATAAAATCAGTTTATGGAGGAAAACTAATATTGCAGTGGATCCCTTCTCAAGAACAATTTACAATCTAGAAATCAAGGAAGCATTGTAAACCTTATCTCTTGTTTTTGTTAACCTAATGAAAGAAATTCTTACATCTTCATCTTCTCTGTGTCTCTCTCTCCGTTTTTCTCTTTCATCCTGCATTGGAAAAAAGAAGTCTTTAACTCCTTTCAAAGAAAGTTTATTTATATAAACAGATTGATCATACCTGCAGTAAGCATACATCCTCACCTCATCCCTGTGGTGCCTTCGCTTTCTGTCTTCATCACCATCATCTTTCCTGTGTTTTCGCCTCCTATCTTCTTCATCCTCATCCTTATGTCTCCTTCGTCGCTCCTCACCATCTTCATCTCTATGTCTCCTCCTCTTACCATCATCATCTTCATCTCTATGTCTTCTCCTTCTATCTTCACCATCTTCATCTCTTTGCCTCCTTCTATCTTCACCATCTTCATCTCTGTGCCTTCTTCTTCTATCTTCACCATCTTCATCTCTGTGCCGTCTCCTTTTGTCATCATCCTCTTCATGTCTTCTTCTTCTGTCATCTTTTTCTTCCTTCTCCCTGAAAAAAGTTAAGAAGGGAAAAAGACATAATAAATTCACCAAATAATAAATACACTGATAACAAATACCCCTACAATAAATACAGTGATAATAAATACACTGATAAATGCAAAACAGCCATTCTATATCAATTTCTAAATCTTTCCCTTGAACATTGTAATTTAAAAGAAGTTGATATTTGGGTATGAAAAATATCTTGGACTTTGAACACCAATCCAACAAGTCTACCTGTTCCATCTTACTGAACATCCCTCACATAAAAATGATGGCTACTTCTCTAGTCATCTGTGATTTCAATATCAATTTTTGTGCAAAAGTTTTCAAGCACCAAACTTCAAAAACATCAATTTAATAAATTCTTATCTGTATTTTGAAGTTGTTGAAAATTAATAAATAATTTGAAATTTAGGATTTTCCACATTAAAGTCGAGTTCCCATGTATGATACCTACTTAGTCTTTAAAATCTCAAAATTAACAATATATTTTAAACAACTACAGAATGTTTCACTTAATTCTATCAGTAAAATCATTTAATCATTTAAATAATCAAGTGATAATGCTACATATTGTGTAGTGCTGTTGTATAAACCTGTGTCTGTCATCTTTGTCCCTGTGTCGTTTTTCTCTTTCTGCCTCTTTCTCTCTTCTTCTCCTTTCTCTCTCTTCCTCGCGATTCCTATCATCTCGAGGTCGCTTTTCGTCGCGATCTCTGTGTCGTCTTTCCCTGCGATCCTCTTCCTCCTCATCTCTGTGTCGTCTTCTATCCTCGTCTCGTCTCTTGTCATCAGACTAAAGTCATAACAAACAGCTAGTGTATCACTAAGTTACAAGTACATTCACTCTTATGAGAAGCACTTCACATCAGAAAGATTTCAACAGCACACTTATATAACAATAAAGAAATGAAGATAACATTCCTTTGATCTGACTGTATTCCTTTTTATTCTTTTGTTACAGTATGGATAAGAATAGAGGCTATATATGACTGGATTTATGCTGGGCTATACCTGAATTACCTTAGGCTATATATGACTGGTCCTGGATTTATAGTGGGCTATATCATAGTTACCTAAGGTTATATATGACTGGTCCTGGATTTATGTTGGGCTATATCTGAGTTACTTTAGGCTATATATGACTGGCCCCGGATTTATACTGGGCTCTATCTGAGTTACCTAAGGTTATATATATGACTGGTCCTGGATTTATACTGGGTTATATCTGAGTTACTTTAGGCTATATATGACTGGTCCTGGATTTATACTGGGCTATATCTGAGTTACTTTAGGCTATATATGACTGGTCCTGGATTTATGCTGAGCTATATCTGAGTTAACTTAGGCTATATATGACTGGTCCTGGATTTATGCTGAGCTATATCTGAGTTAACTTAGGCTATATATGACTGGTCCTGGATTTATGATGGGCAATATCCGAGTTATCTTAGGCTATATGTGACTGGCCCTGGATTTATGCTGAGCTATATCTGAGCTACCTTAGGCTATATATGACTGGCCCTGGATTTATGCTGGGCTATATTTGAGCTACCATAGGCTATATATGGCTGGCCCTGGATTTATGCTGGGCTATATCTGAGTTATCTTAGGCTATATATGACTGGTCCTGGATTTATGCTGGGCTATATCTGAGCTACCTTAGGCTATATATGACTGGCCCTGGATTTATGCTGAGCTATATCTGAGCTACCTTAGGCTATATATGACTGGCCCTGGATTTATGCTGAGCTATATCTGAGCTACCTTAGGCTATATATGGCTGGCCCTGGATTTATGCTGGGCTATATCTGAGTTATCTTAGGCTATATATGACTGGTCCTGGATTTATGCTGAGCTATATCTGAGTTACATTAGGCTATATATGACTGGCCCTGGATTTATGCTGAGCTATATCTGAGCTACCTTAGGCTATATATGGCTGGCCCTGGATTTATGCTGGGCTATATCTGAGTTATCTTAGGCTATATATGACTGGTCCTGGATTTATGCTGAGCTATATCTGAGTTACATTAGGCTATATATGGCTGGCCCTGGATTTATGCTGGGCTATATCTGAGTTACCTTAGAGCTTTTTCCCTCTTTTCTTTCCCTTCTTTCCCTTCTCTGAGCCTCCCTCTCATCCTGTAACCACAAATAAATTTGATGTACTATATTATTAGAATTTTAAAAACATAAAAAAAACATAGGTAACCGAATATTATAAAGCTCACCTCAGCAAATCTTATCTATAAATAAGGCAAGGTATCATACCATGCACAACAAGATTCATAAGTTGCAAGCAAGTCCATGCCATTCACTAAACAGGTAATTTTTTAAATACAGGTCACTAAAATAAATGTCACTCACCATTTCTTCTCCACAGTGGTTTTTATGTATCTTTAAAGGCAACATTCATGCAAGTTTGGGTGAAGTACAACTCATAGCTACTTAGGAATGCTTAACCAAGAAATAAAGACATATACATATAAAAGTAGGTCAGATGTAACCTCTAAGGCAAAACTGGTAGTGTACATCCCTAATGTAATCATCCCAGCAAGATTGGTGTTAACAAAATAAACCTGTTCTCTAATCCTGACAATATAGGTCAGATAAGATCTAAAACAAGACTGGTATTGACAGGGCTCGACGTTAATTAAAATATTCACTTCTCCATTGGACAATGTTACTTTCTGAATTCAAATTTAATTGAAATTGGTCTAGTGTGGTTCTTAAGAAGTCGAAAATGTGAAAAGTTTACAGACAAACTAATGAAAGATGGACACTGGATATCCTTCAATCAGAAAAGCTCACTTGAGCCTTTGGTTTAGGTGAGCTTAAAATACACAGTATGTAAATATTAGGGGTGCAACGATACACTAACCTCACGATACGATACGTATCACGGTATTCAGTTCACGATACGATACGTATCACGATACATAACAAAGTTAAAAAGTCTTTCAAGTTTGTCATCATATTTTTATTTTAACTTAACAGGGTTATACAAAATGTTCATATTTTTTTTATAATAATTAAAATAAAATTTTGTTAACATGAATTGGATTGTTAGGTAGATCTATGAGTTGTGTCAACATTCTAAACCAATGATGAACATTTACAGGGAACTACGGGGACCTTTCCTAATAATCTTCCTTTTAAATTGGAATGAAAAAGGAAGACATTCATTCTTTCATTCCTTTTATTTACGTAGAAAACCAGTTGTCATATTTCTCGTGTTAATACGTTTTAGTCAACAAGACAGCGAATTTTCATTGAAATACACACGTGATGGAATATCGTGTATTACCAAAGAAAACGTTTAGATCTAAAGGGTTAATCATTTGTCTAAACATCTATAACTTATAATCACATTAAGTCCCTCTCCGTGTTAAATCTGAGGTCTGTAAGATGCTGGAGATGAGTTTAACTGCCGTAAACGTTATCGGCGACCTCACGTTTTGCGCGGAAGCCATTTTGAAATAGTAAAGAAGGAAATAAAAAGGACAAAACGGATAATTCTGGACCGATTGAACCGAACCGCGATATCAGTTTAGCGTATCGTGAATTGAACCGTGGAAAAATATACCGCGATATACCGTCAAACGGTTTATCATTGCACCCTTAGTAAATATCCCATAATGGTAAAAAAAATAAAATAACTTGTCCAATCAGACAGGTGTTTGGGATGCGGCTACCTCAAAACTGAACCTGGTTACTCAACTGAAAAATATATATGTCAGATGTAAATTTGAAGCAAGTTTGATCATGTGCATCTCAAGAAATCATCACTACAAATCTGGTAGTCTCTATATTTCATAGATAATTTGGAGTGAACCTGTTCCTAAACCTTTAATCTGACCACTCATCAGGAAATTTAGGTCAGATGCAACTTCCACAGTAAGTCTGGCAGTGGTGCATCTCTAGATGTATCATCCATGCAAGTACCAAAAACTTTATTCAGTATGCTTTTAAAGAAAAGGGTCATTCATACATGTACAGTCAAACCTCATTATCTCGAACTAGATGGGACTGAGGAAAAACTTTGAGATATCCGAGGATTCGAGATATCAGGGGGTAAAATACTTAAAGAATAAGTGGTTGGGACTTCCAAATCACTTCGACATATCCATGGTATTCGAGATATCAGTGTTCGAGATATCAAAGTTCAAATGTATCATATAGAATATAAAAGACTATTGGTTTTACCTCAGTTAATTCCTCTCTTTTGCTCTCTCTATGTTTTTTCCTGTCCTATAATTAAATATTAATTAATGTTAACAAACATCAGCTTTAGAATTTCAGAAATGGATGAACTTTATAAATAGAAGTCTATGACTGAACATGAAATGGTGACCTCGTCGTCTCTATGGTGACGTCTCTCTTCACCGTCTCTTCTATGGCGTCTCTCTTTCTCCTCTACAATGCAATATTTCTTTTTTTCAGTATTAAGTATTGAAAAATGCTCATATATTCAACATCTCCTTCAATTTATAACATTAGTATTTTTCATAAAAACTTTTATCTCTTTGTAAATCTGTTTAGACTAATGTTAATACATGTATGAATTTAGCAAGATTTAGCAATGTTTACTCATATACAATATATATATTTACCTAATCATATGTAAGACTAATGTTAAAACTGTATACAGGGTTATTTTCGCACCATGTTAATTTTGCCCTTTCACACTTATAAATAATTTTGCTCCGTTTTAAATTCGCTGAATCACCGTTCCGTGTAAGAAATTATGCTGTGTATTTTAAATTTGCCCACCTGTAAGTAGGTGATACGGGGGCAAAATTTCCCTGTATACAGTATAGATTTAGCAATGTTTACACACATATAATATATATATTTACCATACCATTTATAAGAATTTAGACTTATGTTAATATAGATTTAGCAATGTTTACACACATATAATATATATATTTACCATACCATTTATAAGAATTTAGACTTATGTTAATATAGATTTAGCAATGTTTACACACATATAATATATATATTTACCATACCATTTATAAGAATTTAGACTTATGTTAATATAGATTTAGCAATGTTTACACACATATAATATATATATTTACCATACCATTTATAAGAATTTAGACTGATGTTAATATAGATTTAGCAATGTTTACACACACATAATTACCATATTCATTTATATCTTCTCCTTTTCCTTCTCTTCTTTCTCTCTTTAATCTTTCCCTTTCTTTTCTGATTTCATCTTTCTGTTAATCATATAAACAGTACATGAGAAACAGAACATAGCTGTTTTAGTGTTTATATGTTAAAGAAGAATGCACCATCCTCAGTGTTTCTTCTTATTAACATGTTTCGTACTTCTCCATTAAATTTCTAAGTTCCTGAAAAATTGGAGACCGGCACCTCATATGTCTGCCTTTAAATAATTGTTACATTCTTTGCAGTACTGATTTACATTTAAATACACTGAAATCCAAATTAAGAATTTCAAAGGATTTTTCATCATTTCTAAACAAACAAAAGTTTGCTGAATGCTGAAAAAAATATTTATTCAAAGCACTATTCTGATTTCATAAGGGCAGATGATTATTCATGTAGATGAAAATGATAGGGACATTTTGGTTAAAGGAGATAGGCACTTAATTAGCAAGATTAAGAAACGGGTCTCCAGCATTTCATTTGGGAGTTTTACTGAAAAAGTATATCTCACTTTCATATGATTTATTAATGTGATGCTTCTGTAACGGCTTGGGCTGTGGATATAAGCCTGGGAAGCCCATAGGTTAGTACACATGAATAATGATACAGGGATCCCAGGTTCAATTCCCAGTGATACATTTCTCCTTTCCTGTTATGTAATTTGGTGCCATTGACCACCCCTAGACTTGCAGGTTTAAGTCCTGCCAGAGGCAATAAGAACTTGAAGTTGTATCTTCAAGGGCAAAGACAATTTAAGGAAGGAGGAATGGGTTGGGCTCTGGACATAGGCCTGGAATGGGTAGCTCAGTCAGTAGAGCACCCTGTCTAGTGATGTAGGGGTCCAGGGTTCAATTCCAGGTCCAGCCTACATTTTCTCCTTTCTTTTTACACATAATATGCTGCTACTGACCATCCCTGGACTTGCAGGTGAAAGTCCTGCCAGGAGAAAATAAGAGCATGGGTTGTATCTTCGAGGGTGAAGACACAATTTTAAGAAGGGAGAAATGTAATTAGAAAATGTTCAATTACAAATTACTTCCAATTACTTTGAAAAATGTAATTTAAATTACACTCGATTACAATTCCTTTTTTTCAATTGCCCCATCCCTGGCAATATTTAGTATGATTACTTCACATTGTACTGAATTATTACCAATCATTATCATGTTAACCAGAATTGGTCTTCTTTGTTATTTTATTCAAGAAGTAAATGTTTGGTTACAAATCAACTGTTGTATATAGCCTAAAAATTTTTAGAACTTTGAATGCATTTGCTCTGAAGGAGACACATCTCTGCAATTTTTTCACGAATTGTTTTCAGAACAGTTCAAAATTGAAAGCATTCGCTGCATCAAAGTGCGATTTTTTTATGCATGATGAAAAAAATGCTCATTTAAGGAAAACAGTCAGATTTAGTAGCAAATACAGCTACTTCAAGAAGATAAATAAAGCTATGTATGTAATTCAAGCTACATGTATTGATTGTACCAGACCTGTTATATGCAGGTCTTAAAAATGGGAACAAAAATGACATTAGAAGGGCCCCAGTAAGAAAAATCTGAATAACTAGCTGTGAAATGTTCATTTCTTACATTTAACGCCTTTTTAAGTTCGTTGGTAGTCCATGTGTCTTCCTTTGAGCGTACCTACAATTTACAAGAAATCAAATTTATGTATACGAAAAGAAACCAATCCTCGTAATACATATATAAATAAGAAAAATTTTCGCTTTAGTGTATGAAAATACATTGCATAACTATATATTTTATCTAATTTTATTTTTTAATCTGCCTTTTTGACACTTCATTCATTAATTTCGTATTTAATGTGATGAATTTATCAGTTTACAAATACCCCCAAAAGAACCATGTTCATTTACAAAATACCTGCATGGCATAAAATTGTAGAAATAAACTTGTACATTTTCAAATTGTTTACCTTCTCTGAAGGCATTTTCGGTAAACAAATCAAACGCTTAAACCGGTGATTGGTGATTTGAAAGCTATTTTATCATCACTAACGCCGCCATTTTCAAGCTTTCCACAGGTATGTACGTAAAACGGAATGTGTAACGACATACCTCAGAGGAATCAATAGATTTCTTATGATAATAATGAAGTCAAATAATAACAATAAATGATGAATAAATGAATATATATTTTTTAAATTCAAAACTGGACTTTCTGACAAGAAAAATAATTTTACGACTTTATTATAATTTTTTGCCTTCTTCCAAAAACTCTTCACAGCGCGAGATTGAAAAATGTAATATGTTCTAAGCACTTCCTTGTTTCCCTCTGCAGACAACAATCAGACACGTGTTAATTAATGTCAAATCTTGTGAAATAATTTAATATACGTAAGTTCTTTACATTCATTTCACTCTCATTTAATTATAATTGTTACATTACCTTACTTTTCATGATTTCAAGTCGAGTAAATTCGAACGGTAAAAGATTTTACTATTTCTACAGTACAGAATTTTTGCACTTGCTGGTGTATTTTTATCTGGAATATTTTCACGTGATTATAACCGTTATTTCTTTTTTAAACAGATATTCTATTATAATAAGAAGAGCATGTGGAAACTTTTGATTCTCCTGCTGTTAGGCCTTGGTGATGTGACAGTCTCTGTGAGCGTTCAGCCTGGACTGGAGACGCCTTTAGATGTGATCGTCGTAGGAGGGGGGATAGCAGGCATGGCAGCCGCCAGAAAGCTAACCAATACTCCTGAAAAGTATTCTGTCAAGGTCCTTGAAGCTTGCAAGAATAGATATGGTGGGCGTGTGTATACAGACAGAAAAGGGAGTGTGAGGGGTAAGGATAGCATGGATTTGAATATGACATATAGGCCACATATTTATAGTACTGTATTTGACACATTGTATTTACTTTTATTTTTTCTTTAGAATTAGAAACACAGATGTGACATCTTATGGTTAAACAGATGCATGTACAGTTGTACATTAATACAAATGCTATCATTGCTAATGCATGTTCTTTTGCAGGTGTGGAGGGAGATCTTGGAGCTAGTTTCTTGAATTCCGGAGTCCCAAACAACCCTCTCCTGGAGTTAACAAAATCCTTGGAGATTGCTGTTGAGTCAACTGGATTTGTACAGCTGTATGCCCCAAGTCAGAATAAAGTGTTCACTCCAGAGGAAACCACTCACGTCTTCTCAGAACTGCTCTCGGTAATCTCACTTCATTTTTAGCTCTGAATCAACATTTGGAAAATGGTATCTTTCAAAATCGTTAATTATGTAAAATCTGTTGTACATGTTGATACCTACAGTGTATATTTAAAGGTTTCATATTCTTTAAAATTTATGTCAAGCGGCATATTAAAATTATTTGTTTTCCAGAGATCTGTAATAAAATTCCACTTGGAGCCTGTGCACTTTGAAATAACGTAAATTTGGAAATTTTTACATCGATTTATTTTTGCAAATTTGGGTCAAAAAGCTATTGATTAATTTTTACGTTTCAAAATTTTGCGAATTGTCATTGGGGCTAAAATTAAATAGTGCTTAAAATTTACATAACACTTTATAAGTTACGCATGTACATGTACATACAATAAATCACACATGTACATACAATATTTAATGATGCCAAATTATCAGATTATAAATTATGCATGTGCATACAATAAATTACGCATGTACATACAATATTAAACAATGTCACCGTTCATTAATCAGATAAAAATATTAGAAGAAGTAAAACATCTAAACTGTTTAAAGTTTTCTTACACTTTATTAAATCAAATCTTGTTAACAATCTGTCGTAAACGGGTTTCTTAAAATGACCACTGCTTTTGAACACTTGTTCACTGGGTTAAAAATAGATACCAGCTGTCAGCAAAATTTCTGTTTACATAATTTTGTTGCTGATTTATTTTTAAGAAAAATATCTTTGCGAATGCACTGCACGCGCAAATTTGCTAAAAATTTATCTACAGTAAAAATTTCCAGATTTACGGTAATACCTGAATACAGACATAAAGTTAAAGTTTATCTTGTAACCAGCTATTCATTGGATCTACTATAAGGCAATCTGGACATAATCAAGGGTGACAGTCAGTTCATCCAGATAAATGCAAGTGTTTAAACTGAACATTCATTTTCTCACAGGTGGTACGGAAAGCAGTAGAAAAGGCATTTATAAAAGGAGATGATCGCCCCCTTCCTGAAGCTGTCAAGGAGGAGTTGTCTTCCTTTGACACTGATGTAGACAAGTCAGTGCTGGCTGGACTTGTATCCTCCCATTATGCTTTGTCTGAGAGGAACTTCTCTACGGCCATGTTTCGACCAGAGAAAGACTTTGGCTGGAACAAAGTAGTTGTTGATGGATTTGACCAAATTGTTGATGGGTACGTTCTGGCTTACAGGGAAAAAAGTATAAGAATAGTGATGAAAGATTTTAAAAGGCTCCATTATGACTTTAATAGTAATGTATAGAGTATATATGATAAAGATGCCAACTCTGACGGACATGTTTTTTTTCCACAATCAAACTTTATACTAGTTATAGATATAACACTTCTGCAGCAAAGTTTATACGTCACAAAATCGTGAATGATCGTATAGTGGTATAAGTCTTTTATTATAATTCACAAGAATAGTATAGTACATCCAAATTCGGGGAAGTCAGAGAGTGTTGCTTAATGTTTTAGCTCAAAGGAAAAATCAGAATTAATTTATTCTCAAGGATTTGGGGAATTTATATATTTGGTAAAGACAATTAACAAAAGTAAAACTTATGTCCATTGGTAGTCGGAGAATCTCGTGTGTGGGTACAAAATCTCGTCTCCAGGGACGCTTCAATATGGCGGAGGAACAAGTAGTCCAAGGACTGCCCCCCTCTGATGTATTCATGGTCAAAGAGGGGATTAATTATTAAATGGTCACTTAGGGGTGACAGTTTATTGTAACGCACTTTGGAGATAAACCATCCTCTCTACGTTCCTGGAGTTGGAAGGTCTGGAAAAGTCTTGGCCTCTGGCTGGAGATTCTTTCATCTCACTGGCAATAGTTAGGGAATGTTGACCATTCAAGATGACATTAATTAGTTTGTAATTATGATTTAATTATTCTTTCTTGGTCAGAGGGACATAAAGGCTGAAGAAAGTTTTATTACCTACTAATAAAAGTACTTCGTAGTAAACAACAAAAGTTAGTACTTCCTCACAATATATAACAAAGGTAATGATTCGCTCTCTCTCTCTGACTGTCCCCTTAAGAAATAATATTTGATGGACACATGAACATATTAAAGTAGTGGTCAAGTTAACCTGGAATTTACACAAAATATCGATACAGTTATATAAAGAATATCCACGTTTAGAGTTTATAATTCTATGTCATATAAGTTCTATTAAAATAAGTTCAGTCTCTGTAACCAATTATAAGGGCTATTTTGTTACATAGATATGAAATTATGTTGGACTAATAAATTTATTGTCTTTGAAACTATTTGTATTCAAAATTTTGTACACTTCATAGTAGTATTACATGTACATCTTTAAACAACATCTTTTATGATATGAAATAAAGTACTGGCCACCTGTATTTCCATAAAGGGAGCAGTCTCATAAACAGAAAAGCTATAGCTAATTGATCATTTAATGCATTTCTCTTTCTCTTTCAGTATTGTCAGTGGTGAAGGGACAGAATTTCCAATACTTGTTGAACTTGAAGCCATAGTACGTCATATCACATACGACAAGAGAACAAAAAAGTATAAGGTTCGGACATTTAATCGGGAACAATATGAGGCAGATATTGTGATAGTTGCAGTACCACTGGGAATTCTACAGAAGGGGGAAATTGTGTTTGGAGAACCTCAGAAAAAGAGTACAAGTTCTGTTGCTAATATGCCAGACACATGGCATGATACCATTAGAAACAAATTAGGTAAGATTTCATACTGATTAAAGATCAATAGTTTGCTACTGAATGCACTTAACATGCTACAAAACAAACAAATACCACTGAACGTTGGTATCTCAAACACAGATATCTCAAAGGCCATGGATGTATCAAAGTGATTTTGAAGTCCAAAATACTTTTTCTTGAAGTATTTTACCCTCAATATCTTGAACCCTTGGATATTTCGAAGTTTTTGTTTGGTTCCATCGAGTTGAAGATAACAAGGTTTGACTGTATTGTATATGTATCTATTTTAACTTGTTCAGTATTTAGTGCAAATGTAGGTTTTGAATTGTTTGGTACAGTCATGAATAAGCACTACATGTGTCAGTGCTTCTATACATTGAACTAATGTAAAATTAGATTTGAGGTTAATCATGAGTTAGCATACTGAAGGATTGTATCAAAAGTGCCAAAATATGGATCCAGGTAAAAGAAGTACAGAAGCCGTATTTGTAATGTTCAATTGTTTCAATCAGACTTGTTGGGCCCTAACCCTCAACCATTTTTTTGGTTCAGACAGCATCTAGAGTACAGGGTATCTGTTTTGATAGGACAATACTTTAACACAGTCTGTTGATTGATTTAGGACAATACGTTAACAGTCTGTTGATTGATTATAGCCTTATAACTGGATTTATTGTTTACAGTTGGTTTACAATTTCACAAATGTATCAATATTTGATAACAGGAGTAAGTTTCTCCAACAAACTTGTGGTGGAGTTTGATGACATCTTCTGGCCACCAGATGTAGGTGTTTTCACCATGGCAACAGATAATGAAAAAGAGGCTGGTATTCTTCAGACCTGGATCAATCTTCACAGACTCATAAATAAACCAGTGTTGATGGGAAGTATTGGGGGACCTATTGCACAAACTTTTGAGAGCTGGACAGATGATGAAGTTAAAAGCAAAGGTTTGGACAGAAATTATTTATATTTTCTTGTCTGTATTAAGCTTTTACTAAAATGTTGTTTTTATTCATAAAAAAAAAAATCACACTTAAAGGGCTTCATAAGAAGGAGATATCATTTCAGTTAAGGCAAACCTAGAAAAGTTTTTTGGAGCACAAGTACAGAATAGAACTATCAAACGGATAAAAAGGTCTGCCTGGCAGGAAAATGAAAATAGCGGAGGGGCCCTAACTTTTCCAAGAGTAGGTAAGTAGAATAATAGTTTGTTCAGCTAGATATATGTAAGAATTAAGAATCCAGTTGTAGTTTATTGGTGCACGTGGCAGTGTAAGAAGTTAAATAAATTTACCTGTAGTGGTCATGTAACATAACTCTGTTAAATTTAAGTACATTCAGTGGTAGAGACACATTTTCTGATTCAATTTATTAGATTATGACCCTTAACATCAAAATGCAGTACCCTATAGGAATCAGTGTCTGTGGTCTGTCAGTGCATTCTTAAATGCCTTTCAGCCAATAAATTTTAGGGCTGGGATAATACAGGTATCCCATGTATCAGATACTAGCTCACCTCAACAAAGTTGGGGGGGAGCTTATGTATAACCCTCGGCATCAGCATCCCATGTTAAAATTTTTGGAACAGATTCTTTTCAAGTACTTCTATGCTCTGTGTTTATCAGAGATGCATGGAGGATGCTTCTGGTGTATTTCATTGTACCAGTCAAGGTTTCAAATGCTGTAATTTCAGCTAAAGAATGACCAGGTTAATGTTTTTGGAGCAGGTTAAAGTTATTGGAGCAGGCCTTGCATGGATGATACATCTAAGGATGCACACTAATAGGCTTGCTTTGGATGCTGGATCTGACCTAAATTTTCCAGATGAGTGACCAGGTTAAAGTTTTTGGAGTAGGTTCATTCTTAAGTAACTATTTGCCCTACCTGCACCAAACTTGCTTGGATGATGCATTAAGGGATGCACACTACCAGATTTGCTTCAGATGCTGGATTTGACCTACATTTTCCAGATGAGTGACCAGGTTAATCTTTTTGGAGCAGGTCCATTACCAAGAAACTCTAAGGCCAATCTGAACCAAACTTGCAAGGATGATGCATCACAGGATGAACACTCTCAAACTTGCTTCAGATGCTGGATTTGACTTACATTTTTAGCTCACCTGAGCCGAAGGCTCAAGTGAACTTTTCTGATCACATTTTGTCCGTCGTCCGTCAGTCCGTCTGTCTGTCCGTCCGTCCGTCTGTAAACTTTTCACATTTTTGACTTCTTCTCAAGAACCACTGGGCCAATTTTGACCAAACTTGGTACAAAGCATCCTTGGGTGAAGGGGAATTTAAATTCTTAAAATGAAGGGCCAAGTCCCCTCACAAGGGGAGATAATCAAGAGAAGACAAAAATAGGGTGGGGTCATTAAAAAATCTTCTTCTCAAGAACCATAGGGCCAGTAAAGTTGAAACTTATATGGAAGCATCCTGGGGTAGTGTAGATTCTAAATTGTTCAAATCATGACCCCCGGGGGTAGGGCGGGGCCACAATGTGGAATCAATGTTTTACATAGAAATATATAGGAAAAATCTTTTAAAATCTTCTTCTCAAGAACCACAGGGCCAGAAAAGCTGAAACTAATGTGGAAGCATCCTGGGGTAGTGTATATTCTAAATTGTTAAAATCATGACCCCCGGGGGTAGGGCGGGGCCACAATAGGGAATCCAAGTTTTACATTGAAATATATAGAAAAAATCTTTAAAAATCTTCTCAAGAACCATTGGGCCAGAAAAGCTGAAACTAACGTGGAAGCATCTTGGGATAGTGTAGATTCTAAATTGTTAAAATCATGACCCCAGGGGGTAGGGCGGGGCCACAATAGGGAATCCAAGTTTTACATTGAAATATATAGAAACAATCTTTAAAAATCTTCTTCTCAAGAACCACAGGGCCAGAAAAGCTGAAACTAATGTAGAAGTATCCTGGGGTAGTGTAGATATAAATTGTTAAAAGCATGACCCCCGGGGGTAGGGCGGGGCCACAATAGGGAATCCAAGTTTTACATTGAAATATATAGAAAAAATCTTAAAAAATCTTCTTCTCAAGAACCACAGGGCCAGAGAAGCTGAAACTAATGTAGAAGTATCCTGGGGTAGTGTAGATTCTAAATTGTTAAAATCATGACCCCTGGGATAGGATGGGACCACAATAGGTGTATTACATGGGGGAAAGTCTGGTGAAGAACAGCAGGGCCAAAGTTACTCAGGTGAGCGTTGTGGCCCATGGGCCTCTTGTTTGAATAAGTGACTAGTTTAAAGTTTTTAGATAAGTCCTTTCCCAAGTAATTAACTGCAAGCCCTATCAGACCAAAATTGCATAAATGTTGCATGTAGGGATGTGCACTACTAGATTTTTAGTTTAGTGTAGGACTTTGCCTTACTTAAAGACAACATTCGTTGAGGTGTGCTCTGTAATATCTGATTACCTATGTTTAATATTCATTGTGATCTGACTGTTTACATTATATAATAATGAAAGTTTAATTTTTCAGGGACTACAGCAGAACAACTGAAGATTTTATCAGAACCACGCTGTCCCGGCCTTTACTTTGCTGGAGAATACACTATTGTGGAGCACATGAATACGGCTCATGGCGCTTATATGTCAGGTATCAGGGCAGCAGAGCAGGTCATGTCAGGGTACTGCCAACAAAGGGAGGAAGAGAAGAAGAAAACAGAGAAGAAGAAAAGGAAGAAGTCAGAGAAGAGAGAAGAAGAGGAGGAAGAGGATACTGATAGTGAGGAAGAAAAAGAAGTTCCTGTTAAACCAAAGAAAAGTAAGGAGCGGATCATACTGTCTGAGGAGCGGAGGAAGAAGGCCCAGGAGAGAGATGAACTGTAAAAGTTGTGTTGAAGAAAGGAAGAGTTTAAAATAAAGGGAGATTGGTAGTGTGTGATGGTTGAATGGGGAAAATCCTGTGTGAGTTGATTTATGGAAGTACACATTTGAATGGTAGAAATATTGACTTCATTCCTGTAGCATCATAAGAACCTGTCATTTTGTGTGCCATATACTACTTTGATCTTCCTACACTGTTCTGCTTATATAGAAAGAAAGAAATCCTAACATAAATTCATTTTTATTCAGTCAGAAGCTTCTACTCTAGAACCACAGTTATTTTAAGTCATTTGCAAATTGAAGAGTTCCCATACACAACCTTAGTAGAAAGAATGTTTAATGGTACTCACAGTAGTATAGTATAAGAAGATGCAGAATAATTTGTCCATGTTTTAGAATATATTTATAATTTATTGAACATTTCTGTGAAGAATAAATTTGTATTACAAATAGGATGACACTGAATCCTGAAAAGAAGTCCCTACATGTATATATACAGTTTGTATGTGAGAGAGGACTTTGATTATCTTTTCATGTCTAAGACAAAATAGAGTAACTGTTGTTAATACTGTTCAAATTTTTTTAAATGTGAGAAGTGAATGGTTATGTTTATACCATTTATATTTCCCGTGTACTTGAAAAGTGGCTGAATTAGCATTTTTACAGGAAATACATGTTCATATGTGTGAAATTTACAGGTAGCATATGTGTATTTCTTGAGAAACTAAATTTTTATCCTGTATACGGAAAAAAGAATTTTTATATAATTTAGTAAATATTTATGGAAGCATCCCATTTGTATTAGACAGATTTACACTAAAATATCTCAATAATCATATGATAAATAAAGAAAAAAGAAATGAATTATTTCATATACATATTTATTTTTTTCCCATGAAAGTCGAGAATGAATATCATTTTGTGTAAATGCTTGCATTGAAGTGCAATAAATAATGGAAGATTTTGTGTAAATGCTTGCATAGTAGTGCAATAAATAATGAAAGGTTTTGTGTAAATGCTAGCATAATAGTGCAATAAATGATGAAAGGTTTTGTGTAGATAATTGCATAGTATAGTGTGATAAATGATGAAAGGTTGAATTGCAGCCTAGAGATTACGTAGTTACTACTAAATGTATTTTGGGGGATGAGAACTAAGGCCTATGTTCTACAGTTATACTACCGGTAATTTATGATGTACCTGACTTTTTGAAGGAATTGTTTTTGACCTCACCAGCATTTTCTATGGTTGTTTACTCATCAGGGTTTATTGATCTTTAAAATCTAGTGATTGACTGGTATCTGACCCTCAAATGAGGTATATATATATATATATATATATATATATATATATATATATATATATATATATATATATATATATATATATATATATATATATATATATATATATATATATTGTGTATAAGAAATGGAGTAAATATTTAGATATGAACCTATTTTGGTAACATATAATCATAAGCTTTGTAAATGGAAAAACAAGTGTTTTTTAAATATGTCTTTCTTAGAATGATGTATATTAAATGTTGCCAAGTATATTATTTTATTTGACATTAAATGTTATTACACAACCCATTTTTTGACATTAAATGTTATTACACAACTCATTGTTTATAAACTAGGGGCAGTAATCCAGAATTTGCCATGAATTCTTGAAATAAATAGAAATCATGCTAAATAAATAAACACATTGTCTGTTAATGTTTTTTTGATGCTATTTTTTATATTAGGTATTAAACTATTTCAGAAATTCTGGATAAATGTACATTTGTGTAAATCTTGAATGTCTGCCCTGCCCTGCAATCAAAAAATATTTCAAAAGTCAAGTGCCATAATTAAGAAAAAAATTTAACCAAACAACAAAAATTATGCTCAGTTATTTTAATTGTAAGATATGCAGTAGCCTCTCATCATCTTCCTATGATTATGCTTATAGTTGCTCAGGTATCATGATTCAGATGGTGCATTCTTCCTGGCCCGAGAAGACTGTATAGAACACTTTTACATGTACCCATGCATAGCAAGTTTTTCTGGAGGCATAGCAAGGATCCTTTCCTCAAATCTGGTGCCTGTAACTTGGGACTCCAAAATTAGAGTACTGAATCATTTCAGTTCCACCAACAAGCAGCAGTTACCCATCCCTGCACTGGTCATGCTAGCCTTACTGATTCAGGTTCATAAGACACTTTACATCACCTTAAAAACTGGCTCACTAAGCCATGTATGTACTACATGTATATGAGTGCTGTTTCACAAGTTTTTATTTTCCAAGTAACAAAATGGTCATGGGCTAAACCATTTCCTGCCCCTAAGTAAATGGAACACAAATCTCCCTACAACTTAGCATGAAATATGTGGAGATAATGAACAGTATTTGAGCTCGAAAGTCCATTAAACATTACAAAATAGGAGCAGAGCAAACACGGACCTCTAAGACATCAGAGGTGGGATCAGGTGCCACAGAGGAGCATACTAAGCCATATATGGTAGACCCAGAAAGCTTCCATTTTTAGGATAGATTCAAGTCTGTAGATTAGAATACACAAAAATTTTAAAGAAAAAAACAGGAAGCGCATGGGCTACAACACTCACTTGAGTCACCTTAGCTTGCCCTGCTGTCCTGAAGATTGACCCTGAATTGTGGCCCAGCCTTAGCCCCAAGGGGTTATGAATAACTGAACTTGAATCCAAACAATATTGAGATGCTTTAACATCAATATAACTAGATTTGCTTTGCTGTTCTAAAAGAAAAAAAATGAATATTCTATTCCTCTATACATATATAGTGTAAAATTTGATCCTCACTCGCCTAATCCAAACCTTGTCCATAATTTGAAGAAAAAAAAATGAATCCATACAACTTTGAAATTTTCATTTGTCAAAATGATTTAGTGTGGCCCTGCTAGTCTTGAAAATATTTCTTTTAAATTACCTATGAATCCGATCCCTTTATGTGGCCCCACTTTATCTCCAGGACCAAAATTTGAACAAATTCAAATCTGCACTACCTGAGGATATGACTTAATCATGGGCATGCCTTTCTAAGAACTTTTTCCTATATATTCATCTGACTTAAAGTTTGATCACCTAATGTGACCCAAGCTACCCTTAGGGACCATCATTTGAATGAAAAAGACTCTACACTATCTGTCAAAGGATGCTGCATATATAAAATATGACTAATGCCCTGCTGTTCTTGAGAAGATTTAAAAAAAAATTTTCCTCTACGTGAATCCTTGATCCCATAATGTGGCCTCATCCTACCACTGGGAATAACTGGATTTGAACAAATTTGTATCTGCACTACCTAAGATGCTTGCATATTAATATTACCAATCATGGCCCTGAAGTTCTTATAATTTTTAAGCAGTTTTCCTATATATACCCATGTGCACATGCATACTCGTCTTATACTGACTGGGACAGCATTGGCTGTTATACTCATCTTAGACTCAGGGGAAACACTGGTAGTTATACTCATCTTAGTCTAAGGGGAAACATTGACAGTTATACTTATCTTAGACTCAGGGGAAACACTGACAGTTATACTCATCTTAGACTCAGGGGAAACATTGGCAGTTATAGTCATCTTAGACTAAGGGGAAACACTGGCGGTTATACACGTAGTTATCTTAGACTCAAGGGCGGTATTGATGGTTATACTCATCTTAGACCCAGGGGAAACATTGGTGGTTATAGTCATCTTAGACTCAAGGGTCATATTGGTGGTTATACTCATCTTAACTTCAGGGGAAACATTGGCAATTATACTCATCTTAGACTCAGGGGCAGTATTGGTGGTTATATTCATCTTAACCTCAGGGGAAACATTGCCAGTTATACTCATCTAAGACTCAGGGGAAACATTGGCAGTTATACTCATCTTAGACCCAGGGGAAACACTGGTGGGTATACTCATTCTTAACTCAGGGGAACATTTGCGGTTTTACTCATCTTAGACTCAGGGGAACATTAGTGGTTATATTCATCTTAGACTCAGGGGAAACATTGGCGGTTATACTCATCCTAGCTACAGGGGAAACATTGGCGGCTATACTCATCTTAGACTAAGGGGATACATTGGCGGTTATACTCATCTTAGACTCAGGGGAAACATTGGTGGTTATACTCATTCTTAACTCAGGGGAACATTGGCAGTTATACTCATCTTAGACTCAGGGGATACATTGGTGGTTATACTCATTCTTAACTCAGGGAAAAATTGGCGGTTATACTCATCTTAGACTCAGGGGAAACATTGGTGGTTATACTCAGTCTTAACTCAGGGGAACATTGGCGGTTATACTCATCTTAGACAAAGGGGATACATTAGTAGTTATACTCATTCTCAAATCGGGAACATTTGTGGTTATACTCATCTTAGACTCAGGGGAACATTGGTGGTTATACTCATCTTAGAGTCAGGGGAAATATTGGTGGGTATACTCATTCTTAACTCAGGGAAACATTTGAGGTTTTACTCATCTTAGACTCAGGGGAACATTAGTGGTTATACTCATCTTAGCCTCAGGGGAACATTGGCGGTTATACTCATCTTAGACTCAGGGGAACATTGGCGGTTATACTCATCTTAGACTCAGGGGAAACATTGGTGGTTATACTCAGTCTTAACTCAGGGGAACATTGGCGGTTATACTCATCTTAGACAAAGGGGATACATTAGTAGTTATACTCATCTTAGACTCAGGGAAACATTGGTGGTTATACTCATCTTAGACTCAGGGGAACATTGGCGGTTATACTCATCTTAGACTCAGGGGAACATTGGCGGTTATACTCATCTTAGACTCAGGGGAAACATTGGTGGTTATACTCAGTCTTAACTCAGGGGAACATTGGCGGTTATACTCATCTTAGACAAAGGGGATACATTAGTAGTTATACTCATCTTAGACTCAGGGGAACATTGGTGGTTATACTCATCTTAGACTCAGGGGAACATTGGTGGTTATACTCATCTTAGACTCAGGGGAACATTGGTGGTTATACTCATCTTAGACTCAGGGGAACATTGGTGGTTATACTCATCTTAGACTCAGGGGAACATTGGCGGTTATACTCATCTTAAATTCAGGGAGAACTTTGGCAGTTATACTCACGTTACATTGACTGTGACAGCATGGCAATTATACTCATCCTAGATGCCCAGAAGAAATACAAACACTGATTAAAAAGCTCATAATATTAAAGTCACAGAATTTATTTCAGTAGCATCAAAGTTAATATTCCATCAACAATGTCAAGAACAACTCAGTGGTTTAGATATACAATACCTGGTAAATAATTCTGTCATGCAACTGCAAATCAACAAAGGAAAATGAGCAAAATATTTCCAGTACCAGGTACATACAAATATTTCCAGTACCAGGTACATACAAATATTTCAACTACATGTATTTGAATTTAATTTCGTTTAAAACCTTTCATAAATTCATCCTTAGCGATCATACATGATTAGTATACTCTATAGTGAAATTTCTTTAGATAAAAATCATATACTGTCTCATAAAGAATATTTAAAAAAAACATTTAGGACATGTATATTTTTTCTGGTTTGGTTCATTCATAATGATGATTTTCTTAAAATTTTGACACTTTTAAAAATTATAAGGTTTGTTTTTCTTTTCTTCTTTAAAACTACATTGAATATGAAGATATTAGTTAATAACATCAAATGAATCTCATGTTCAAATATAAGAACATCATACAAGTATATTGTACTCTGCAACTGGAGATACATACCTGTGTATAAATATAAATATATGAACACCCCTTCTGAGGGTCTTCTTTAAATGTACCAGAAATGACAAAAGCAGTATTAATTTAGTATTAATTTAAAAAGGATAGTAGCATATTTATGATGCATTACAACAGAAAGTGCTTTATTAAATATGTTAACCTGTAACCTTTCTATTCTATTCAATTTGTTCACAAGGAGTAAATATCTTTTGCATGTCTTAAAACAAGCAATGCAAAGGTCAATCAATTATAACTAGCAATATATATACAAATAGCTAACTTAATAAAGGGCACCACATTCAAATGTGGAACCACTTAAGGTGGTGCATCATCTTCACATGTGGCATCACTTAAAATTCAGTGCACCACATTTAAATGTCACCATTAAGTTAGTGCATTACATTTCAATGTCATCACTCACTTACAATATTATATGAAAGTTAGTGCACCATCTTCACACAGGACACTACTTGTACTTTAAAATTAAATGTCCCTCATGTGACACCACATATAGATCAGTGTACCACCTTAAATTAGATGTCCCTCATGTGACACCACTTATAGATCAGTGCACCACCTTAAATTAGATGTCCCTCATGTGGCACCACTTATAGATCAGTGCAACACCTTATATTAGATGTCCCTCATGTGACACCACTTATAGATCAGTGCACCACCTTAAATTAGATGTCCCTCATGTGACACCACTTATAGATCAGTGCACCACCTTAAATTAGATGTCCCTCATGTGGCACCACTTATAGATCAGTGCACCACCTTAAATTAGTGCACCACTTCTTCATGAGATACCATCTGGTGGTCTAACTTTTCTTCTGGTTCTTCCTCTTCCTCAAATTTGATTTCCGGTGACACACATTCCTCTTCACAGATTTCGTCTGAGTCGATTTCTGATTTCTTCAACAGAGCTATCTCCTTCTTCATGAGAGAAACCTCTCGTTTGAATCCCCTAAGCTGAAGTCTCATAGTCTTCATGTGTTTATGAATGTCCATGTAAGCATTTTTAGGTGGGGCTCCTTCGTCCCCCTTCCCACAAATCAGACATCCTCGTGTGCTCTCTTTAGCATGTTTCCTGAAGTGAGATTTAAGGTCATCTGCCTCAAGGAAGCACTCGCCACACTCACGACAGCCATAGGGGCGATCCCCTGAAGTTATCTTTACCCGCCGAAGGAGATCCATTTTTGCTGTAAATAGTGTTTTACAAGCATCACATCGACCAGGAATATCCTCAGCATGCATTCGCTCCACTTCACAATCAGCCGAGTGAATACGGAGGTGAAACTGAAGACTTCGTTTGTGGAGGAACTGCTTGTCACAAATGCCACATCTAAACGGCTAAAAACCAAATCCACATTATAGCACTGTCAAAGCAGAGTAACATTATGATCAAGTATAAAGAATGAAAATTTTAAATTGTAAAAGGTCCTGGGAAAAATCTTCAAATTTAACTTGTGAGCATTTAAAGTTTTTGGAAGACAAATCCTTTTTCGTTCACAAGCCTATTTGTGTAATATTTAATTGGTGATTTAAGACAGTATCATAAATTAGTTACATAAATATCTTTTCTCAGAGTAACTTAAACTTTGTCTCATCACCTATGGTGATTTTCTAGTAATGTCAAAAGTCACTATAAAAAATCTGAATCAATATTAAATTTTCAACTTTGTGCTTTAAGGTAGGTCCCTACCCCTACTCCAGTGACGTTATCATTAGTACTACTTTTTACACTGAAGTGAAAATATATAATGATCATTATAAGAGATGATCATTACATGTATATTAAGATGATCATTTTGAGAAATACCAGAACTATTGTATTGACTTGTCCTATGTTTGGTGATAATAAATTAGTAGCAGTGCAGTGTGTACTTCACGGCATGTTAAAAAGGATATTAACAACATTAACAATACAAAATGTTGTAATCATACATACATTGTAGCATATAAATGTAATGTTCATACAGTAATTACAAAATATACAAGCTCTATAATGTGTTTTTTCCCTTAAAAATAAGACTTCTATTTTTTTTTGAAGAATGATAGGATTGTTGGTAATATTTTGAGATGGCAGCTTAAATATATGAAGAAATAAATCCAGAAACAGCGCAATGTTCAAATGAGTGCAATAAATATACATTCTTTTCAATGAGTGGCACTGTAGCTCTCTGAACATCCAATTTTTTTCAGACCAGCAAGCTACAGATCTGCAGCTAGGAGTGGAGTAGTCTGAAAGTCTCCTCACACACATACACACACTTATCTTTTGTGATGTATGTTTATTCTGGTGTGCCTTTAGGGGAAATGAATAAGGAGCGAAGTTGTTTGAATGTCTCACACACATATACTCACTTTTTGCCCTGTATGTTTACTTTGGTGTGCCTTTAGGGAGTGAAGTTGTCGGAAAGTTTCATTACACACCCCACATTTGTAAGGGCGGTCCCCCGTGTGGAGGCGAATGTGAACCTTGTAGTTGGAGGAATAACTAAAGGACTTTCCACATTCTTCACACTTGTAAGGTTTCTCACCTGAAAAAGTAACAAACACTGTTAACTAATACATGTAATGTGTCAATCCAATCTACTGAAGCTAATGACTGTGAAGGGATAAGGTTTTCAGGAATTACAGAAACAACATACTGGCATGCATGGATACAGGACAGTCTTCAAAATTTAAACATTAGATAAAAATGAAATGTATAACTCCCTTTATCTCAACAAATTTTGGTGCTATGAAATATTTTAACTGCAGTGTCTTTAAATGAATGATTGGGGATGAATTATTTGCCAAAATTGTGTGATTATGTTTACCTGCATGAATCCTAAGGTGATTTTGTAGATGTTCATTCTTAACAAAGGTCTGACTACAAAACCAGCATTTGTAGGCCGGATTTGTAATGTGGATCTTCATGTGAGCAGACAAGGCTGTCTTGTCCCTCACGGCCTCGTGACAAACTGAGCATTTGACCGTGGAAGGTCGGTTGTGAATCCGGAGGTGACTCTGAAGAGGTCCCCTCCCACTGAATGTCTTGGAGCAGTGGTCACAGTGGTATGGCCTGTCACCTACGTGTTTCTGAATGTGCTTCTTTAACTCGGACTTGGTGTGAAACTGATCACAGAATGCACACTTGTACACGGGCTCATGGCTGTCCTCGTCCACGGTGGTCACTTCCTCCGTCCTCACTACCTCAGCCACCTCCTCCTCCTCCTCCTCATTGGTTAACTCCTCCACATGGTCGATGACACAGTTTACTTCCTGATTGGCTGGACTGACTTCCTGACTGGCTGACTTGTCTTCCTGGTCGGTGTCCTCAGCACTGCTGGAGGCCCCCTCTGTGTCAGACACAGTCTTCACTTGTTTTGTTAAGGACACATACTCGTGCTCAGTAAGTGGATCTCTCCCTCTCTTCAGTCTGTTTTTCTCAAGGCTTGCCTTTTCTTCACTGGCTATGATGCTATCTCTCATACCTTTACAAAAATTGTATAGACTTCTTATTATCTGATTCTAATATACCATGAAATTCCAAATGCAGTTAAATTAACATGCTGTGAAATTATTTCAAATCGGGAGAGGGGGGAGCAGAATTTCAAGGGTTTGGTAATGATACACAGTTCATGGGAGCCTAATTTCATGGATCAATGCCTACCCCTGGTAGTTATCAAAGATATAGCCTACAAAGCAATGCCTACCCCTAGTAGTTATCAAAGGTAAAGCCTACCCCTGTTAGTTATCAAAGGTATAGCCTACCCCTGTTAGTTATCAAAGGTAAAGCCTACCCCTGGTAGTTATCAAAGGTAAAGCCTACTCCTGGTAGTTATCAAAGGTAAAGCCTACTCCTGGTAGTTATCAAAGGTAAAGCCTACTCCTGGTAGTTATCAAAGGTAAAGCCTACCCCTGGTAGTCATCAAAGGTAAAGCCTACCCCTAGTAGTCATCAAAGGTATAGCCTACTCCTGGTAGTTATCAAAGGTATAGCCTACTCCTGGTATTTATCAAAGGTATAGTCGACCCTTGTTAGTTATCAATTTTTAATCAATATTTACCTATACTGAACAGTGTGACTTGGTGACTTGTGAGTGCAATATTTACCCATGCTGTATAGAGTGACTTGTTGACTTGTGGGTGCTTTATTTACCTATTCTGTATAGAGTGACTTGGTGACTTATGGGTGCAATATTTACCTATACTGAACAGAGTGACTTGTTGACTTATGGGTGCAATATTTACCTATACTGAACAGAGTGACTTGTTGACTTATGGGTGCAATATTTACCTATACTGAACAGAGTGACTTGGTGACTTAGAAATGTATTATTTACCTATACTGTATAGAGTGACTTGGTGACTTGTGGGTACATTATTTACCTATACTGTATAAAGTGACTTGGTGACTTATGGGTGCATTATTTACTTATACTGTATAGAGTGACTTGGTGACTTTTGGGTGCATTATTTACTTATACTGTATAGAGTGACTTGGTGACTTGTGGGTACATTATTTACCTATACTGTATAGAGTGACTTGGTGACTTATGGGTGCATTATTTACTTATACTGTATAGAGTGACTTGGTGACTTTTGGGTACATTATTTACCTATACTGTATAGAGTGACTTGGTGACTTTTGGGTACATTATTTACCTATACTGTATAGAGTGACTTGGTGACTTGTGGGTGCATTATTTACCTATACTGTATAGAGTGACTTGGTGACTTGTGGGTACATTATTTACCTATACTGTATAGAGTGACTTGGTGACTTTTGGGTGCATTATTTACCTATACTGTATAGAGTGACTTGGTGACTTTTGGGTGCATTATTTACTTATACTGTATAGAGTGACTTGGTGACTTGTGGGTACATTATTTACCTATACTGTATAGAGTGACTTGGTGACTTGTGGGTACATTATTTACCTATACTGTATAGAGCGACTTGGTGACTTGTGGGTACATTATTTACCTATACTGTATAGAGTGACTTGGTGACTTGTGGGTACATTATTTACCTATACTGTATAGAGTGACTTGGTGACTTATGGGTGCATTATTTACTTATACTGTATAGAGTGCAGGGATCGAAATTAACTTTTTTGACCACTAGCAAATTTTAGCTAGTGGAATTTTTTTTACTAGCAATAATGAACTTTCACTAGCAAATTTTCTTCTCAAAGTAATTAACAAAGAAATTATTTGAATAATTTCATAGAAAACTAATATACACCTTGAGGGCATTTAGGTCATTTTATACAAGATGTTTTGCACAAGACAAAATTAGTGTAAGATTCAAAATCTGAATGGATACAGGTGTGTGCAATTGAATCATTCAAGCACTAGCCCACAGACTACAGGGAGCAATAAAATCACTAGTCCCAAGTAAAAAGTTACTAGCCTAAATGTTAGGGGAAAAAGTAACAAATAAAGCTGAAAGTAAAATAGTTTATCGTTGATAGAGTCTTGAGGTCATTCTTCTTACTAGAAAAATTGAATAGTATATAAATCAATAATAATGATTGAAAATTTTAAAAAATGAATTTACATAGATTACCTTCCTTTTTCTGGTCATTGCACTAGCTCATTTAAATTGAAGCGAAAATCTTTCTTTTTTTTTTCATCTTGAATCATTAAATACATTGGAAACGTAATTTTTGTAAAACACAGAACATTTTTCCTCTAGTTGATTGAGTGATCGTAAATAAGTTAATGGGATATGTACATGTATTTACCATAAACAGAGTAATGGAGGAAATTCGGATTAGGAAAAAACAATCGATTTTGGAAGTAAATAAGTCAGGTAGTACTGCAAAATGGATAAGATTGTGGAGATTTACAAACTATAGGAGCATGCTGCCTGGAAATTTGTTCATTATTTGGGAATGTAATAGCAAAGAAAGAATGAATGAAAATACCTGTAGTGCTTTTCATGTGTATTACTAGTCCGAAATATCTGACGTTTTTCTGGCTTTTTTACGATTTGATCAGGAAAACATCAAAATCGTGAAAAAAGCTTGGAAAACATCAGATATTTCGGACTAGTGTATTACATGGGTAAATTTAATTTCTACTAGCCCGAGGGGCTAGTCCGACCCCCAAAATTGGTAGCCCCGGGCATGGGGCGATGCTAACCGCACATCCCTGGGATAAACCCCCAAAAAATCCGAAAAAGACTTTTTTTTTAATACCCGCAAAAGTTTGCGACCACAGGTCGCATTTAACCCGCAATTTCTGATTTTAACTCGCATTTAGCGAGTATTTCCCATTAATTTCGACCCCTGGAGTGACTTGGTGACTTATGGGTGCATTATTTACTACTGTAAAGAGTGACTTGGTGACTTTTGAATGCATTATTTACCTAACAGAAGACTAACTCCTTCTGTATCATGGTCATGGATGGAAACTGGGTCAACAGTGTTACATTTCTCCACTGTCACTGGGCTCACCTGTCAAAGTTCAAAGGTTAATTCATTATATTTCTCAAGTTTCTCTGGGGTCACCTGTCAAAGTTCAAAGGTTTATACAATTTTGTCTTTCATTTAACAATTAATCATGCTGGTGATGAGTATAATATAGATAAGAAACTAGAAAAGGCAGTAAAAAGTATATAAAAATGAAATCAATTTAAATATTATTTGTATACAAACCTTTCTTTTGGGAGATTCACTTAGCCCTACTTCTTTGGATTCTTCTGCTTTTTCACTGTGAAGAAAAAAAAACTAAAAAATAAAACAGTGTTCAGAGTCTAAATATATACCAAATCTATAATATATGATTTACCATTTCAAAAAACAAAAAATAAAATCACATCTTCTTAAACACAACATATTAATATTGAAATAAGAACCTTAAAAATAACATATTTTTTTTTATATGTTGTGAAAAGCAGCACTTAAGAGTAAAACAATTGAGTAAACATTAAAACTCCTGTAAGAAATGAATACATCTGTAATTTTCTAAGTGTTAATAGCCCTATTATATTTTTAATCTTTTTGTCATACTATTTGAAAAATGTACATAATTAAAAACATCCATGAGATCTTCCGTTTGAAACTGCATTGATAACTAAATGTAAAGTCCAAGCCGAGTTTCCCACTTTCATGAAGAATCCAAAACTTGAGTATTTTATCATCAGATTATGATAATCATGATAATGGGTTACAACTTGTACCAGACATCATCCAGGTCAAAGTGGACAAGTCAAAGTTTGAGTTCAATTGCCCAAAGGGCAAATAGATTTGAAAGTTAATGTCTATCCCTGCCCTACCTATAATTTTACTTTAAGCCCCCCCCCCCCCCACCCCCTGTACAAAACATAATTCCAGTAATCCTTTTATTTCTGTCCAACTTCATATTCATTATAATGAATTCACCAACACATAAAATTGTGCATCCACCATACATTTTTTTTGTTTGTTTGCAACAGTTGAAAACTCCAACAGTTAGGCATCTATGCTTGAAAGTTTTGGTAAAACCTGTAGTGAATAAAGAAGTTTAAAACTGGTTTGCATATAAAGTATACCACCAGTTTAGATACATGTAACACAACAAACAGTTTCAATTTCACTTATGTAAAACTATGACTTTTTTCAAATATTTATTCATTTTTTGTCATTTGCCCACGGACAAGTGCTTATTAAAAATTCACTTGCTTGCCTGTAAAATTCACCAGTCCCAAGTGTCAGGCAATAGGATTTGTCTGAATCCAGCCCCCTGATTCCTTGGGTCTAATGGTCAAATTCTCAAGATTGAGCTAATGAACATTACAATATACTTACCCAGTGAAAACTGAGGTTAGATTTTTATCTGTGGATTCAACCAGTCTCTCAGGTGCCTTAGAATCTTCTAATGGAGAGAAAGAGAGTAGAGAATGCATAGAAAATCATGGGTACATACATATACAGAGGATATTCAATATTTTGTAGTTGGATATGAAATTTATTTCACAAGTGGGACAGGATTTTTTCCTTATATTTTCGTAAGTGTAAAGAAAACAAATAAAATTCCTTCTGCCTTCGTCTTTTGGTAACACAGCATTGTAACTGCCATAATTGAGCAGTTGTGAGAGATCATAGCGAAGTGATTGTGATATTGAAAATTGTAAATATGGATGATGACAACAATTTAGGTAAACTTTGGCAATTTAAATTTGTATCAGTATTGTTATTTACACTTGCTATCTTATAACACATATGACAGGATGTGTTTACTTTATAACACTCCTTGTGAAGGGAATGAAAATGGAGAGTTTGCTACATTTTTGATAAATTTTTTTCCAGTGAAAAATAGCCTTTTGATATATCACTTTTATTTGATGGATAAATTACAGTATTTCACTGTTGAAAATGTAATAAAATGCTAAATTACAAATGTCACATCTAGGTTAAGGACTCCCCTTGGAAATGCCTTTAAAGTTATAAATATTCCATGAAAATGTATACATCAAAATAAAGTAGAAACTTAGTGCCTTCATTTCCAATAACAAAGTTTCTTTTGCGAGTCTAGGTATTTGATAACAGGCTTTGTGAAATTGCAATATTCTTGAATTTTGCAGAAAACAAGTGTATTTGAGTACCTTCAGCAAAGAATAAAAAAATGAGCAGACCCCTCGATCCAAAAAATAAAACAATATATTTTATAATCTTCAGAAACAAATGTTTCATTATGTACAGGCCCGTAGAACATGGGGGACCCATTTTTTTTTCTGAGTATAGTATTTTGCTATAATTTTAAATTTTCCTTTAGATGCTGGTTGCCCCCCCTTTTTTTTTGATGTTTTTAAGGTCGAGCACTGGCAAATTCCAGGATTTGAACAGTGAATCAGCTTTTTTTTTTTTTTTTTGCTTGTCAGATAATTTTGAGAAGTTGCCAAAGTTGCCCCCCCCCCCCTCCCACTTTGGGTCAGTTCAGAATTTTTTTTTTGCTTGTCTGATTTTTTTTGGAAGTTGCAACCCCCCCCCCCCCCCCCCATTTTTGAAACCCTTGCTACGGACTTGATGTACGCATATTTTGGATCAAAGGTTGTGCTTTATATGAAATATTGAAAAAATACTAAAACTTTTGGCATTTTTTAAGGAATTTTCAAGATATGGTAAAAATGGCACATTTCATGAACTATAAACTACTGAAAAAAGACCTAATATGCATTGAAATAAAGTTAAATTACAGAATAAAGCAACAACACACAACCAGTTCCCAGACAATCCCAGCACTTTTCAAAATAGTAGGGATACTACATGTGTTCAAAAACCAAGAATTTTTAGTGAAGCGGATATTGTTGAACTTTGAGATTTTCGAGATACTCTGTCTATCTTTTAAGTACATCACTGTACAAGTGTGCCTTCCAACAGCATTATAAAATGTCTATACATTCTCAGTTTAATTAAAATCATCAAATCAATCACCATATTGGTACCGTATATGATTTACATTATGACCCCTGGGTCGAGGCCTCTGCTGGTGGACTGGAGGGTCTCTACAGCCCAGTAGCTATGTACTTCAGTTCTAGCTTGAAAATACGGATATATATTTAAAATTTAGAAATTTATTTCAATATTAAGGATTATCTCCCTAAAACCAGAGACCTCAGAAAGGAATACTCGTAGGTCTCTGGATTTATCCTACATTTATAACCCAACCGGAAGTCAATGTATCCAATTCGAAGTCTTATTTTGCATCGAGATAATTTTCAAGGAAGAAATGAGTGGTTTACAATAAAGAGGCTCGACCAGAGAGGCCTGAAATGATTAATTTGACAAGATAAAAGTCTTTCAAGTGAACGGTGTCATTTTAAAGTAGGTTAATGATTGACATATAAACAAAATATGAGCTTGAAGCAGGGGGTGCCTGAAATTGAGTTAGGTACCTTGTGGTAAAAATAAGTAGGGGTGCCCCGTACATGAAATAAGTGCCTGTGTAAAGGTTGATATAATTAAACAGTGTTTTCCCCTGGCCGTTTTTGCATGGCGGTACTGCCATGCATTCACGATACCCCACCATGCATCACACATTGCCGCTATGCTTCCCGCTATGCATAAATTAAAGGTAGACTATTTTAAGAAAAGGTTATACTTTGAATGTTATCAGTTATTAATCTTTCAATAAAACAATTCAAATCACTAGAATCATAGCGTGTACTATACACATGTTGTGCACCTGTGGTGAACTCGATGCGAATCGCGGTACGGGGTGTGATGCAATAGTTGTCAATTTATGTTTATTGCAATTTACTGATATGTTACTAAGTATTAAGCTTTTATTGGATTAAAAATATTTATAAGCATGAAAAATTTATTAATTGCTGTCAGATAGTACACTCGGTGAAAGAAATACACTTGTTCATGCACATGTGGGTTTTTCCAACATCCACAGGTCATTATATAAATAGCATTGATGTTCCGACATAAAAAATGATTCATTAGTAAAACACATAGTTTTAAAGCCATTTTTTAGCATAAATATGCTTAAAAATAAACATGTCCAATAAATATTATCATTGTTTATTTACTCTATGAACTATGGGCAAATACTTTGTTCAAGCGCACATGCTTGACCCACATTCAACAGCTTACGTTGAACAAAAAAAAAAAAAAAAAAAAAAATCAGACACCAATGTACTAAATATGTTGTCACAATATTTACATGTAAGCAATGGTGCTAAATAATGTGTACCCTATTTGTTTAAAAATGACTGTAAAAGTAGGGACATCCCCAAAAAAGAAAAAAAAAATGTAGTAAATAAAAGGGGGGGGGGGGGTCACTAGGGTCCTATTCAGTTTGTAGAAAGCAAGAATAACACAGCACATAAACATGATAAAAAGACAGTTGCCTTAGAAGAAAATAAAATAGAACAATTATTTGTGATTAGATCTATTTTTATAAAAGAGAACTCAATTGTTTAGCTTTTTTAAACGTTAAATTGACAATATATTCAAAATATATCATTTAAATTTAAAAAAAAATATATAAATGAATGATGCATTTGTATTTTTCATTTAAATATAAATTCAGATACATGCATAAGTAACTCAACGAGGCATGCCGTGCACCATCAATTCAGCAAAATTCCCCCCATGCATTAAAAATTTTCTGATTAAACTGATTACACTGATTAAATATAGGAGTCATTAACCTACCTGTGTGCACTAAAACACAGATTTCTCTAATAATTTAAAAATACAAGACCATTTGCTTCTCGTTTTCTTCAGATTCAGTGATGGCTCTAAATTTCCTCACGATGAATTAATTATATACTGAATCCCTGTGAGTAAGGGGGACTTGCAGCTTTGTAGATATTTCTTGCTTTGATTCAAAATGTAACTTTGTCAAAAACACTTAAGAAATTCCAATCAACATTGTATATAAACAGTAATTGTTCTCCCTACGAGGTTACTCGATATCTAACGCTCAATGTTTCAGCAATATGCTTCCACAAAAAGTAGAGCAGCAGCGTGTCTGTCAACAAACAATGACTATTCCAAAAATATGAGTACAACGTCAAAACTTGAACATTTAAATTATTAAATCTTACCTTTTCCTTCCATTTCTACATAGAAGCAATGGTTATGTTGCTGTAAATGATGCTAAAATTAAAAATTTTGATAATAAAGTTAGGAAGGACCGCAAAAATTACCACCGGAAGAGAAAATGTACGAATAGCAAGAGAACCAGGAAATTAATACAGGCAGACAGCTAAAAGCCGGAAAGGGTCAATATATCATAATATCAAGGCAAAAACTCCAAGAAATTTACATTTTATTCAAAAGTGAAGTAAAATAATTTTACAAACGCAACTACAGATATTTTTATATATGATCAACCTTTGATTTTTTAATTATTAATTAATTCCGTGTACCGTGTTGCATGTGAAGATTATGGTGGCATATTTCTAGATCTGCTCCCTCAAGTACTTAAAGATCTGTAATTGCACGTCAACATAATTATCTTGCATGTTGACGTAATTTTCTTGCATGTTGACATAATTTATCTTGCATGTATGGGGCAGAAATATGCCATAGAAGATTACGAACAGTGATCCAATACAACTATTGAGCTGAGGTCAACATGGACCTCTGAAAACAGTTGTGGGACCAGGTGCTATACAGGAGTAAGCATCCCCTGTCGACCGGTCACGTAAAAGTCGGGGAAAAATTCGTCCAGGTCTTTCAAAATGTAACGGTACCTGTCAGGCCCGTAGAACGCTTGGGGGGGGGGGGGTGTCTAAGTATGGTATTTTGCTTGATAATAAATTACCTTTTAGATGCTGTTTGCACCCCACCCCACGTTTTGTTGCTGTAAGGTCGAACACTGAAAATTTCCAGGATTTGGACAGTTAATTAGGTTTTTGTTCCTTTGTTTTTTTTGTTTGTTTGTTTGTTTGTTTGTTTGTTTGTTTGGGGGTTTTTTTGTTTTGTTTTGTTTTGTTTTGTTTGTTTGTTTTTTCTTTTCAGATTTTTTAGAAGTTGCCCACCCCATCCCCCACTTTTCGGACCGTTTTGTTTTAGTTTTTTTGCTTGTCAGATTATTGAGAAGTTCCCCCTTTTTTTGCTCGTCAGATTTTTTGAGAGGACCCCCTCCCCCACTTTTGAAACCGTTGCAACGGACCTGCCAGTTACTTTTACTCAAGTGAAATATTGATCGTACCGGCCAAAATATTCGTTGGAGAGAAAAAAATGATAACAAATTTAATTAAAATTGCTTTCACAAGGTACCTCCTATTTTTGTAAAAGTACTGGTTCATTCAGATTTGAACAGGATTAAAAACAGGTTTCTATACCACTCAAATGCAAGTTTCACCATTTCACTTGTGGGTGTAATTTCCTAAGAAGCTACAGTTTATATATCGGAACACTTTAAGTCAATCGAAATTTTCGTACATGAATATCCAACTCTGGTCAAACTTGCACAAATCTTGTATCTAAATACAGTTAATGCAGTATGCAGTTTCTGCCATTTCCAGTAAAGTCCAGGATTTGGACCGTTAATATATTTTTCAGATTTTTTGGGGAGGTTGCTCCCCCCTCCCTTTTGAAACCGTCGCTATGGGTCTGTATGTGACGTATATTTATTTTCAAATATCAATTTTATTTGCTTTTGCAGGCTTTGATCAATTCATTGGTGCTCTCAAGTCCAAATATTTAGTCGAACTTGTTGTTGGAATGCAAATGTTCTTTATCCTTTTTTAATATTATTTCCTAGTGGTAACTAGCACAGATTTTTTCCTTTGCCCGAACCATGCAGCAGATGAGTGGAATTGATTCAAGTATAACTTACGGTAATTCCTGAAAGTAGTTTCTTTTGATTCTTTGCTTTAAATTTGGTTAATTCTAAACATAAAGAGATAGCAGATAGCTATTTGTATTTTGATTTCTAAAACTATGCATTTTAGGTAGAAAACTTAAATAGCTACTGACAAATATGTTGATGTTACAAGGATTTCAAGAACCCCGTTTAAAGTCAGTTTATCGAGAATTTTACGGTCGTTATAATGACCTACATGTATTTGTAAATACAATCTATTGTTGTGTCTTATTTTGTCTGTCGTGTTTCATATCTTTTTAGTTAGGCCATTGTTTTTATACCATGCTAAATTTGACTAAGGAGTACGTACTCCATCTACCTGATCAATATATAGGAGTCACGGCGGGTATGACCGGTCGGCAGTGGATGCTTACTCTTCCTAGGCACCTAATCCCACCTTTGTTGTTTTCCAGGGGTCCGTGTTTTGTCCTGTTCACGATTCGTTTTTGTTTACTAGATTTCTGAGATTAATCACTATTCGTTATCTTCGCATATTTTTCTTTAATTTGGACTGAATTTTTAAAAAATCAAAAGGCAAGAAAAAAATATTTAAGATAAATAACAAACAAAAATTGATGAATATATTTAAAAAGTTGCTCGAAGTAGTTAAGGTGCGAGTTATCAAAATTCTTTTAAGCAACTCTCCTGTGTGGAAGAGGGAGAAAAGGCACGTTTTCCTTAGCGACAATAACTCCACAATGATGGCAGAGGAAGAAACCGAAAAGTTCTACCTTCAGAGTAATCTTTTTGTGATGATTTAGTTTATGCCATGTATTTTTCCTTGTTTTTGTTTCATTCTAACTACTATTGTCACAAATGATCAATCAATCATGATCACAAATGTTTAACAAAACGTACAATCACAAATTCGAACCAAAAAGATCCATTTACTTTAGATTAGATTCAGGAGAAATTCTGCATGTGATTGTCAGATGACTTTATCCCTGTCTCTCGATATGTGGAGCTCTATAATTTGTACGGCACATGCTGACTTTAATATAAGTCCTGTTCATGTTTTAGGCCTAACTTTTTAAACACTTGAAGCTTTTAAAAAATAGATCTATTTTATGCTATTTTACTGTATGGAAATGATTTTCTCAAAGGTCACTTCTCATAGTATGCTCTGATTTTTAGTTGATATGTCCTCAATATCATGAAATCTAGCTTTATTCGATTTTTTTAATGATTCACAGAGGAACAGATAGTTGTAGACTCAGATGAAGAGTACCAGTATGAAGAGGTTCCCATTGATGAAATATTTATTGGGGCAGGTAAGACTGAATTATGTAGAGCATGTACTAGGACAGGTAAGATTGAATTGACCTACACCATATAAGAACAGATTGAGTTATTGACCTAAATATTGACACTCGGATAATAAATTCAGGTAGAGCATTATATTAGGAAGTGGTGGTACAGGTGCATGATATTTATTGCTGAATTACAATTTTTCTCACAAAATGTTTAAATTTTATTGAATTAAAAGAAGGCTTAGGCCTAGTTGGTTTTAGCAATTAAAGCATTTAAACATCAACTGTTATCCTAGTGTTTTATTACTCATATATCTCAGGGATATTTGATTCAGAAAGATTTTGTTCTACTTGATTATAAAAGATTATGAATAATTATAATTGAATTTTAAAAATATTAATCTTTTTTGATGTAAATGCTAATTAGAGAATTATGTTTGTTGAAGAAGGGGAAGAGGACCTTGACGTAGCAGTAAGGACCATCAGAGAAGCAGAGGAGGATGCCTTGGCAACAGTAAGTCACCATGACGACACGGTAACACAAATTATGTTGTTCATTGACAGGTTAATCTCAAAATAAAATGTGTGTGTGGAAATATTATGAAAGCATGCTGTCTAAATCTGACAGAGATTATAATGCATGTACAGACTTCCTTTCTTTGGTGTAGAATTTAGAAATTGCATGCCTTTTATGTTGTTCCTTTTAGACTCGCACAGTGATCAGTTTTAGGTCAGATGAGGTTAGTTTCTCACTTCAGTTTGCTAGTCCTGATTTAGTCACAACTCTTGTTTTCATTCACGTATTCTAAGTCTTTTTCTAGGCTACGTTCACGGAGGAAAACTGCAAATTATGCTTGTGTAATTCTACCTTGACTGCACTGCTTAATTGAAATGTCACTCTATTTCAAAACGCATTTTAAATAATTGCAAAAATGTTCAAAGCCTTGAGAATTAATGTTTTCAAATTTTATGAGCTTTCCATCTATAGTTCACATGATAAGTCCAGTTAAATGAATCATCAGAAATCAGCTTCAATTCTAAAATATGTGTACTTTATTGCTTTTATGCTCTCTTGTGAAGTTTTTTTTTCTGATGTTATACAAAACTGCTGGAAAGTGTTCAATTTTTCCACTACCAGGTAGTTGTTGCTACGTACAGTTCAGACATTTATTTTTGCACTTTCTTACTTATAATTTTGGTCATGAATTACTCTCAGCTCTCACTTAAAAATGTGATATTTAATGCCATCAATTTAAGTTTTTTTAATTCTCATAATTTTGTATCTCACTTTGAAAATGTGACACTTATGGGCCATCATTTAAATTTTTTGATTGTTCTAATGTTGTAGTCTCAGAAAGAGGCTAAGGCCTCCGTTACCCAGCGACCTGAGGTTGTGGATGATTTTGTGCGTAATTTCCTTGTACGGATGAATATGGATAAGACTTTGGAATGTTTCCAAACAGAATGGTAAAAAAAAACAATCTCAGAAATTCAAATCTATATAAGTATGGTGTGCAGTTTATTTTTGATGTCTTTCATGGGAGAATAAATCGATGAAAATAACAACTATGTGAAACTAGCTTGAACTATGCCTAATTGATTAAAGAGAAGAAAACCAGTTACAAAAAGACAAGTGTAACCAAATATAGTGAAGAAGGATTTTGAAGAAAATGCAAATATAAAATTTTGCAAATTAAAAGGAATTAATGTATAAAGTATTTTTCAATAGATTCATATCTTTTGTATGACTTAATTGATATTTTGATTAATGTGTTAATTAGGTATGAGCTGCAGCAGAGAGGCCTGCTCCATGAAGAAGACATTGGTGTGGTACCTGACATTTACAGCAGGAACCAAGACCTGGACAACGATGTCAAGTTCCTCAAACAGGAGGTCAACAAATATAAAGAGGCAGCCATGTAAGTCAGGGGGGTTAATTCAAACAGCACACATACAAAGAGGTGGATATGTAAGTCAGGGGGGTTAATTCAAACAGCACACATACAAAGAGGTGGATATGTAAGTTGGGGGGTTAAATCAAACAGCACAAGTACAGAGCAAGTACAAAGAGGGGGACATGTAAATTGGGGTGTTTATATCAAATGGTAAAAATACAAAGAGCCTGCCATGTAAGTAGGGGGTTTAAATCAAACAGCACAAGTACAAAGGGAGAGTTTATTCACATAGCCAAGTTGAATATATGATCATTGTCAATACAACACAAACATATATGGTTTTGCTGATACTAGTATTATTTTTCGTGATTTAATATTTTGCAGGAGAGCAAAGGAGACTTATGTTAAATTAAGAAAGGAGAGAGATTATCATAGAATGCATCATAAACGAGTTGTACAAGAAAAAAATAAGCTCATCAATGACATCAAGAGGTAACTAATAGAAATGTCTCATGGTGTCTTAATTGTTTGCCCTTAATCATATTTGGGGATTTCAATCTTTTACTCATTCTTTCGTAGACTAAAGCGACATTACGCCCAGTATGAGCCGACACTTCAGCAGCTGAAGAAGAAGTATGAAGTGGCGATGAAAGAGAAGATGTTGTCCAAGTTAGAGAAGGACCGCGCCGTGGGGCAGGTGGCTGGACTTCAGAGTACACTAAAAAGCATGGAGTCCTTCAAGGGGACACCACCTGGTGGCTTCCAAGCAGGTACTCTATCATTTAGCAGTGTCCTAGTGGTTCATTAAACAGTCATAAAGCATTGCGCTAGCAGTTCATCAAGCAATGTGTTGGCAGTTTCAGCAAGCAACATTACTCTTTTACTATATTTGAGGTTAAATTTTGTTGTTTAATGAGAATTTTCTATTAAAAACTATATTGACTAATCATCCTCAAATTCTTTGAGTCCTATCTTGAGTATCCATTTTAGATCTACTGATAATAACTGATGAAACAAACAAATTTGAAATTTCAAAATTTTGAAAAAAAATGCTTTTCTTTTATGCAATCAATTACAAGTACTGGGGTTTCATAAATCTTTTTTTTTTCTTTTCTTTTGACATCAAGCCCCTAGAATAAGATGGGGGGGGGGGATTTTATTGAGAATAGTCTTTTGCTGTAGTTTTAATATAAAAATTTTCATTCATTATAAGGCCGGTGCTCCCCCCACCCCCTCCCAAAGGCCAACTTTGCAAAACATTGCTACTGGCCTGGACATTCACTTAGGCATTACATATTTCTCTCATGTTTCTTACAGCTACTCAGTCTGGTAAGCGGAGGAATTGGGAGGTGGATGAGCAGGGAATGGGCCCCACCCAGAGGACTTTATCAATGGAGAGGATGAAGGCTATGTCGGGGGATATGAGGGACGTTCCAGAAAACTACAAGCGACACCCCAATGTAAGTGAAGGCCCATCAATTTATTCTCCAATCACACGAAAATTGTTCAAAAAAAATTTCTAGCCATTGTTTGAATCTTCTGTCTTGTTTTTTAGGATTCAGAATTCCCCAAAGACACAGGAATTAATCCAATACTGGCTCAGATCAAGGGACCCACTGGCCACTTAGCAAGGAGTGGAGGATTTCGCTTGTCCAATACTTTCCAGGCTCACTCACATCCTATCAGCAGGTACCTCCACTTGGTGGGAGCTTTGAAAAACATGTTTAAAAAACTGAAACAATATTATTTATTTTTACTATCCTATTTGTTTTTTTTTTGTTTAAACTTTGAGGACTCTTTGGTTTTTCTTAACTTTTTGTTTCTTCATGATTGAATTTTTTAAAGCATGGTGCTTAATAATTTCAGTGTTGTACTACATCCTCGTAAGCAGATTTTGGCCACCACTAGTGATGACCAAACCTGGAAGATGTGGGCAGTGCCCAGTGGTGACATCATAATGACAGGTGAAGGTCACACGGACTGGGTGTCAGACTGTGACTTCCATCCTTCGTAAGTATAACAGCAGGATCCTAATCTAAATTTGTAAAGGATTGTATCAATGTTGATAGATAATGAAATACATTGAATAGTGATGTCACATACCTAACAGTATTAGCTAGTCAGTAACAAGATATATTACTTTTAGCTCTATCATTCCATTGGATTTCAAATCTTATGGGTTTAGCCTCCAGCCACAATGTTGAGATGTTCTTTATTCAGTAATAAATTTTTAAACACAATACTCTGAAGAATTCTTTATGTTATAAATTATATAAGCACCATTATTTTATTTTTTTTCTTCAAGTTTATGTCCTGTATATAGCTTAAGTCTTGAAGGGAACTTCTAAAGGTATTGTCAGAAGGTATTGTAAATATTTTTTTGTAGTGGTTCCAAATTGGTGACTTCCAGTGGTGACACAACAGTGAAGATCTGGGACTTTTCTAAGGCTGAGTGTGTACACACCTTTACAGACCACACACATGCAGGTAAGAGGAAAACACACACACCACACACATGCAAGTAAAAGGAAAACACACAGACCACTAGTGATGGGACATCAGATAATTTTCATAATCGATCATCAGTTGGAATTGGTTATACTGCTTCCGATGTGATTTTACCAATTATAATCAGATGTCATAGTTTTGTATATAAAAAGCAGACTATTACAATTATTTCATATTATTTCTTTAACATGAATATATAAAATATATAATATATTATTTTCTTTGTCATTTTGCTTCTTTTACCCTCTCTATATATGCACCTTTTGGTTCTTAATCACCTCTGCTTCATGCTAGGTGGCTAGTATCAGATGCAGACGCCATTTTCTTTCATTAAGAAGAAATAAATTTTAAACCAGAAATGGATAACTCCGGAATGTATTGTATTAAATGATCGATTGTGAAAAATTATAATCGATCATCGGAATCGGTATCATTTTTTCATCGACAATCGATGTTTTCTGATTATCGGTACAACACTACAGACCACACATGCACAGTTGCACACACAGGTAAGACGAAAACACACAGACTACACACACGCAGGTAAGAGGAAAACACACAGACTACACACATGTAGGTAAGAGGAAAACACACACACCACACACACACACAGTAAGAGGAAAACACACACACCACACACAGGTAAGAGGAAAACACACACACCACATACACACACAGGTAAGAGGAAAACACACACACCACACACAGACCACACGCATGCAGGTAAGATAAAAGCACCGTGAACCACATGCATGCAAGTAAGTGGAAAACACACAGACTACATACACACTAGTACATGTAAGAGGAAAACACACACATAAGGTATCAGCTTTAAGACAAACCCAATCTTCTACTGGAATATAAATTTTCTGTCATTATAGACTGATTATTCAAAAAATTATAGTATATTATACATCAGTCTTCAAATCTTGGGAACCGCCTATTATTCCGAATTTTTATGTGGATCACCAGGGTATCAGTAGAAATTGAGATAGTTAGTGTAAGTATTTTGTGTGTTTTAGTCTGGGGTTGTACATGGCACAGCTGCGGTGACTTTGTGGCTTCCTGTTCCATGGACAATACCTGTAAACTTTGGGATCTGAACAGTCTCCGCTGTCGCTTTACAATGCGGGGCCACGCAGACAGTGTCAACAGCATCGAGTTTCTGCCATACTCCAATACCCTTCTCTCCTGCTCTGCAGACAAGACTCTGTCACTCTGGGATGCTCGCACTGTGAGTATACATGTAGAGACTGATCAAAGAAAGAAACACAAAAGTTTCAGAAATACAGTTAAACTTAAACATCGAATTCTCAAATAATACAAATATATCAATGGGAGTTGGAAGTCCCAACCACTATTTCTTTATGTACCGGGGTATTTTAATCTCAATATCTCAAATAATAAGAATATTTAAAAGTGAGTAAAAAAATACATTGGAAGTCCCAACCACTTTTTTTTATGTATTTTAACCTCAATATCTTGAACCTTTGGATATCTTAAAGGTTTCTTCTTAGTTTCATCAAGTTTGAAATAATGAGGTTTGACTGTATATAATGTTCCATTTTTGTATGTGCCTGACTGTCATTTCTTATTTCAGGGACTTTGTGCACAAACATTCTATGGCCACATGCATTCTGTCAACAATGCAACATTCAGTCTTAAGGTGAGGACAATTTTTGAAAAAGCCGTCATCATGTTGTTGTTTTTTTTTATTTTCACTTTCCAAGGCTGCTTAGTTACAGTTTTATATCAAGTCTGTTGAGCTCAGATGTTCTTTTTTGTAGGGTGATACAGTGGTGTCTTGTGATTCGTATGGTACGGTCAAGCTATGGGATGTCAGGACAGTGGCGCCGATGGTCAGTTTTGATGTGGGACCACATCCCGCCAATAGAGTGGCCTTTGATCCCACTGGAGCAGTGGTGGCTATTGCCAGTAATGATGCCACAATAAAGATGTATGAGGTCTCCAATGGCAGGGTAAGTTTAATGATGATCACAATATAATTTACGTTTTCTATCCTTTTTAAGGATACATACCTGAAAATCTGGTCAAATATATGTATCTTTTTTATAAGTTATTAATTACAATGATATCTGATGAAGAGAAGGGTTTTCAAATCTATACTTAAGAAATTCTTAATACTGATATCAGCAGGTGGCTAAGTGATTTTAAGATGTAATGAAGTCTAGTTATTAATCATCTTTTAACTATTTCATGTAGCTGGGTACCTTAGTGGGTCACGAGGATGCCGTACAATGTCTGATGTTTGACAAGACTGGGGAATTCATGGTATCTGGAGGAAGTGACAACACTGTCCGGATCTGGTCATAACAGCTTATTCCAGATCATCAATGTCAAATCCAGACAACTCTAGGTTACTGACATTTTTGTAGGTCAAAAGTGGGGTGGAGATATTTGCGTAGTCTGTGGACTTGCATTGCAATGTCTCTGCGATATTTATATGTCACATTGTATTGTATTCCAGTTGTATTTGATATGTTGAAGATTATATTTTGATTTTTTTTTTATCTATAATGCAAACTGTAGATTACTTAATCAATAGTCATTACTTTGATTCATTGTAATGTAATTTGCTTTTGTAAATGTCTTTACATGATAATGTCATATTAAAACTCAAGACTGTGTAGGAGTTGTCTCTCTTTTTTGAATTGAATCAGGTATCATTCAAGCCATGTATTGACACACTTTTACTCCTCAAGCTCTAAACAAATTCACAGACACAGAAAATTAACATTAATTTGTATATGACATCCAAGATTGTTACAAGATCTGTCTGTAAACATAATGGAAACCCAGTAATGAAAAGTAATCTCAGAATTTCATAGTTCTGACAGATAGACAGGAAGTAACAGATTGATAAGTACCTATCAGGTTTTCTTCTTTCTGGCTTTGTATGAGGCTCCATTTTCCCACATTTGGGTAATATAGGCACTCATCATAACAAGTTCATTATGGGCAACCACATTCTCTGTGGCAACTCTGATCATTTTCACCACTGACAATTATATTAGAACAAGTTACTTGTTTAAGGCTGATATTGTTTCTGTTAAAAGGAGGCATTGTAATTGTTTATTCTCTATAACTGTTGCAGTTTTGGAGACAAAAATCAGGTTCATTAATTGATTTACAAGAAAAACATACAGGAAAATGTGTTGTAAGTTCCTACTGGTCATTGTCAGTAAGAGAAATTCAATTAAAAATTGTGGAAGTATAAATATTAAGATTTCATTGGTCTTTGAATTTGCTTCATGAAACAAAATTATGCTGACATTATTCCAAACTAATATTTTTTTTGTAAACTTCTTGCTGATATGAAATATTGTCTCAGGGAAGAAAAAAGTATTTTCAAAACTTGGTAACTGAAACCAAATTTTAACAGTGCATATAGTGCATATGACATTGAATTCTCAGTAATTTACAATAGGTGCTATGCCGTCTTATTCATCCCCCCCCCCCCCATACAAAAACATTTATTCATTTAATTTTTTTTTGGATCACTTAATTACCAAATTACATTTTTTTAATGATACTGTCCCTTAATAAAGAGATAGAAAGCACATTTTAGGGGTAATTGGTTGATGTGGACAAGAGAGTACTTCTTTCGTTTATAGAGGTTTCTGGCTGATACTTTTTAATTTTTCATAAGCTTAACCCACTCGTCCCACATCCTGTCAATTCTTACTAGTTAGATTACCTCGATCCTCGTTTGCCCGTTCTTGATAAGAGGTCCACGGCAGGTGTGACCGGTCGACAGGGATTGTTTACTCCTCCACTGCACCTGATCCTATCTCTGATGTTTTCAGAGGTCTTTGTTTGCTCTCGATTTGTTTAAAATTGGACTGTATACTTGTTTAATTAGGCTGCTGGACATGATTAATGTTCGTTATTTTCACATTTCATTTAAACAATATGCGTACAGTTCTATGCGTCGTAGTAGAAAGTTGACACTAATCGTACTCCTTGGAGTGGGTGCATGGAAGATGGATTGATCTGGGAGTTGGACGTGGGGGTGGGGTGGACTTTATCTTGGCTAAGATTCGACTTGGCTGGATATTTGGACTGGTGAAAGCGTCAGTCCAAATATGTAGCCAAGCTGAATCTCAGCCGAGATTACTCTGTTGCAATAGAATATTGGTCCATATCAGATAAGCTGTTCTTTGACATTTTAAGATTTAAATGATTCCCCAAAACGTCAATTTTCAATTGAACTTCCAGAAGTCTACGGGAAGCCAAATTCACAAGGATGAGCTTAACATAGTTTAACAGTAATAAGCTGCATGTAAATAATGCGCTGATCCATGAATTTTTTTCTGGCGGTTGGGGTTTCCAGGCCCACTTAAAAAAGCATTTAAGATAGGGGGGTCGACAAATCGCTTTCCATAATATATACTAATTACCAGGGATCCACTTTCTGGGGGTGGGCTGAGGTCCGAGGTCACCTTTTCTTTACTATACAAATTTGAAAACTGAACACCCTTCCCGGCCTGCCCCCCCCCCCCCCCCCTAGATCCGCACGTAAACGTAATAATAAAGAAAAAACAGTAGATAAACTCTTGTTATCAATCGTAAACTATAGTTAACATAAACATCATTATTTGCAGATATCATACATTCTTTGATGAGCGCAACAATGTAATTGAAGATCTCAAATAATTAATTATTTCATTGCGCGCATATAATTCAACTGTTGAGATCATCATTTGATTTGCTCTCTTCAAATGAATTAATCAAATCAACAATTGAATTGACACACGCGCTAATTCAATTGAACAATGATTTACTTTAAAGTCATATATGACGTATTTTTGATAAGTTCAGGTAATCAAAATTTAAAATATCTTTCTATATGATTTATTACTTTATATAAATATAGGAGAATTACCCACTTTAAATCAACCGCGTTTAAGATTAAAAAAAAAAAACAATAACCGATTTATTTACCGACACCACATTTGAATAAAAGACACATTTAAAGTCAATTTAATTAAAGAAACGTGAGATTATTCAAAATCGGTGAAAATTTATTTTAATTTTAACGTAAATAACAATATCTTGTATATCCACACTTAATCTCGTATTATCATTTTTAGCTCAAATATGTCATATATAGCCTTAAATCTGCTCTCTTTATAGTTGAATTATTGTGCGCATCAATTCAATTAATGCGGGCAACAATTAAACATTGCTCAATTCTTTTACAGAAAACAACTATTTACTTGGTGATATCTTAATTTCAAATTTAACATATCTATAATTCAAATAATTATCTTTTTTAAATGAAAGATTGTTCTCTTTAAAAGAGTTATGCATGAATTCCACTATCAATATCGTGTAAGATAATTAAATATATCTTAATTCAATTAAATTACAATCATTTTCACCGAGCTCTAGATCACTTTTTTCAAGCAATGATCCCACGAACATGTTAAGCATTATAATATTGAGGATGAGAGTAAAAATAGATCTGATGATTGGTTGATCGATTATTGCGCGCAATAATTGAATTGGTGATATATTCCAAAACTAAAGACATCTGGAACTATTTGAGTTAAGGGTAAAACACGATACATACATGTACACGCACTTAGTATCAGGGGTGGAGGGGGGGGGGGGGCTGCCCTACCTCCACCTTTTTTCCAAACATATAACCTTTCACTGTTGAAGGCTGGTTGGCCCCCTACTTTTGTTTCAGTATAGTCAAATCGGGGTGTTAATTGGTGTTAATGTATAAATAAAAATTAGTTGTGAAAGAAGTTGGACCTCCCCTTTCCTACGAAATAATATTCCTTTTTTTCAAGTTTGGACAATTTTTCCTTTCTTTCTTTTTTTTTAATTTATTTTTATTGTTTTGCTTGTTCAAGTTTTTGTTTTTGTTTTTTGTTTTTTGTTTTTTTTTGTGTTTGTTTTTTTTTTAGGTAAGTTGTCATTTTTTTTCTTGCTGGTTCCCCCACTTTCAAAATCGATAGGTAGAGTACGTACCTGATGTAAAAGAATGAGGTTTCAAGAAGATGTTATTGCTTTTTTGATGAATATAAATATTTGGTGTTGTCCTAAATTGAAATATGCATGCGAGAATTTATCAGGTAGAGCAAGGAAAGCATATTTTACAATCAAATCAAAACTACCAAACAATATAGTCCCTAGGGAAAGGTTAATTTAAGATATACGTATGAATCATGCATTATGCCAATTTTGACTTTTGCTTCGGAAATTTGGATAAGTGATTTTAAAAAAAATGACAAAAGACTTTAACAAAACTCCATTTGAAAAAATTCAAAATTTCATCTTAAAAGACATTTTAGGACTTCATAATAAAGCTGAATTTAGGAGTTAGAGTAGAGTTTGGTGCACTTCCCATTATTTTCAGAATGTATAAATTATTATTTAGATATTATTACAGATTATATAGAAAATTGTTTCAGATCAGAAGAACTCAAACTTGCTTTTGCAACATGCATATTTAGAGGATGAAATCTCGCTGGAAATGGAAAATATGTTGGCAAAACTGTATACGAAGAATACTTGATGAAGTTATTTGTTCAAATGCTAATATATTAATTTATCTATAAATGATTTTGAAATTATTTGAAAAAGTATTTTGAGAATATAGTTTCCAGGGACATTAGAACTATCAAAGAAAATGGTAATGGAAAATTGTCATTCTACAGCCAGTTAATAAGTCCACAAAATCTAATGAAGCTTGAAATTCAACCATAATTAAAAAGGATGACTGCACTTAAGGATATGCGAAATCTGCGACAAAATAAACTTTCAAAACAAGCATTTTTCTTTTCATTGCAAGAATGGCCAACATCCAATCTACAACTTTATGTAATTACGTTTAATAAAAGTGTGTATTTACGAAGTTCGAATCTGTTTTCAAAGGCAGGGGTCATCACAATTTCTTGAATCTCCGTACGATAATGATGACGCCCACTTTTTTACTGACTTTATACGTAGTCAGCGCATGTTTGTCTATTGTTCTCCGTTTCACAATAGTTGTATATTTGCATAGATAATAATGTGTCAAAAGGAGATTAATAGACAAACATGCGCTCATGGTTAAAAAGAGAAAAAACTGCTTCTTCTTACATTCGCTCTCTGTGTTGTAAACAAGGATTGCGACATGTTGAATATTATAATTCACCACGTGATGTCCTACCTCAGGTAACTCTGTGAATACTAAATTCCGTCACGTGACTTGTAAGGTAGCATGTTCACAGTATCTAACCCACATCCTAAAAAAACCGGAAGTTGTTGCGTTTCTTGGTTGACAACATGATGCAGTCATGGGATTATGAAATTAAGACGGCAATTATTCGAAGACATGTTAAGTATTTAAATGTGTTGTGCATTAAAACGCATAGATATATGATGAAACGTTCTCTAGGAAACACAATTTTGTCAAAATGGAGCTTTGTTTTTTAACGCAATGCAAAACGCAGTGCAGTGCAGTTGTGCAAAGACTTAAAAAGATATATTATGGCATTGGCGTTCATCCCATTTTCGATAAGAATTGTATCAAATAATGAGAAATATAAGTATTGGGGTATTGAAACGTAATTTATTCCTAATTATAATTATAATATCCTTAATTTTACTGCTTTAATCAAAATGCGACTGT